GAAAAAAATGAAGCAAAATAGATCGATCACACTGTATCTGATAACGTTCTTTCGCAAGTTCCCCACGTGTCCACGTATCTAGTAACTTTTTTAAGAGTCACCTAAACTAACGTGACCTCGGACCAATGACCTGACTTGGTCATATCGACGTCATCGCTACGATATTATCAAGTTGTTGAGTAACAACAACCCGAATGACCTCGAACAAAATTCTACCCAAACCTTTAATTTCAAATTATCAGAGAAGATGTAAAGAGATCAAAGGAGTAGTGAGCAAAAAAAAAAATAAGAAAAAAAGAATGTAACAAAAAAGGGGATGCATAATAAAAAAAAGAGTCGGATACTCTCTCTCTCTCTTTTTGTTCTTATCATTTGCTTATTTCCCTTATCTTTTACCTATCTCTTCTTCACTTCACTTTTTTCTCGTTTTTTCTTTTTGGTTTTATTTCTCTTCTCTCTCGTTCCACCCCCCAGTAACTTCAATCCTTCTCTACATGTTTTTTTTTCTCTCTCTCTCTCTCTCTTTCTGTTATTCTCATTTGCTGTTTATTTCTCTTTTCTTTTATCTATCTCTCTTTCATTTTTATTATATTCTTTTTTTATTTCCTTTTATTTTATTTTTTATTTCTTTTTCTTCTCTCTACCCCCATTAACTTCCATCTTCCTCGTCATTCTCTCTCTTTCTCTTTCTCTTTCTCTTTCTCTCTCTCTCTCTCTGTTTCATTTTCTCTTTCTACGTGGAAACGTGGGCGTGGACGTAGGCGAGGTAAGCCTTCAGGGCCGGCGAGGCATCGACCGATCCAGCTGGACGCATCGTAAATCGTGACGGTTTCGTGTTCGTGAAGGTACGCGTTATGGTATACCCCGACCCTGGCCGATCCAATTTTTCCACCAGAAGTATGGTACTGAAGGGGGATCCTTTAGAATCATGCTTTTATATGTACGTGCATACATACGTGCATAAATACTTGTGTGTGTGTAGGTAGGTAGGTAGATAAGTATATGTGTGGATATGTGTGTATCTGGTACGGTAGAGATTTGACCGATATGAGGAAATTTCCATTAATCCGTTCCCTCCTAACTAACTTCCCCCAGTTCCTATGTACATCGAGATAAATCTGCATCATTCTCTCTTCCCCTCTCTCGTTTCAACTGGTTGCTCGTTCCTCTTCTTCTAAATACTTTCTTCTTTAACCTAAGTACCCCTTTCTCAATGTTTCTCCCAAGATTCGTCATTCAATTAATTTCAAAAAAGAAAAAACAACACGAAAACAAAAAAAAATACAACAACCAATCGAAAAAGAAAACAGAGAAAAAGAGAGAAAAAGAGAGAAAAAGAGAAAAAAAGTGAAAAAGCAAATGGTTAGAAGAAAGTAGTACTCGTTCATCCGTAATACACGCCATCTTGGATCACTTTGATCGAACGAAGTACAAGAACTCGAGAGAAAGAATGGAATTCAAAGAATCTAACGGGAAAAAAAATCGATGTCAAATTGAAGAACTTTTCTACCTTTTCTTTTTTTTTTTTAAACTTGACAGAGAGACTGAACGCGAGTTGTAATAAGAGTACGAAGAGGAGGAGGAGGAGAAGTTGGAGGAGGAGAATGACGAAAGAAAGAAGAAAAAAGAAAAAAAATAAACGCGAAAGAGGGAAAAATTAAAAAGAAAAAGAGCATGGGCCCTTTTCTTCTTCCTCGCGAACTTATTAGCGAAAGTTCGCCGGAACAAAGTTTCCAGCGGACAAAAACGGTCCTTGATTCCTGTTTCCCGTTTCCCCTCTTCATCCTCCAACTCATTCCTCCCACCACCCCCCATCTCTCTCTCTCTCTCTCTCTCTCTCTCTCTCTCTCTCTCTCTGACTATGCCTGCGGCTTTCGAAAGCCCGTCGTCGTGCGATCGATGAATGCTCGTGTCGTCACATGAGGACCCTCCTTTAATACCTCCCTCAACCCCTCCCCCTCTCATTCTCTCTCTCTCTCTCTTCCCTTCTCTCCCTCTCATTAAAGCCGTCCGCTCGTCGCACGCTACGCGGAGAGTAGCATCCTAATGCTATTTACACAAGTGCTCTGCCGGAGCGAAAGGGCGTACTACGTACGAAACAGTTCGGCGCAATGTCGACGTACCAATACTACTGCACTAACACATTTATATACATTATGCTTCGAAACTATATATGTATGTATGTATCTCTCTGTTAACGAATGGTGTGTGTGTATGTCTCTCTTTCTATACGTATGGGTATGTTTTGTGTGTATACACAAGCATAGGTATGTGCAAGTATACGATTCTCTGTTTGCAAAAGAAAAAGGGGGATTTAAGGGTAAATTTTCACTTTTAACATTTCCTCGTTAATTCCGTTCTATCGTAAACAATTATGTTACTTATTTTCTAATAATCGAATTGTGTTTTATAACATTTTGAAAAATATCTTTTAATGTGTTTCTACTATGTGATAAATATTATTTCGTATGAGAAATCTTTTAAGTTTAGTTATGAATGTCTGACTGGCTCTGTGTGTGTGTGTGTGTGTGTGTGTGTGTGTGTGTGTAAGTAATACGTGAATATACAACTTTCTGTTTGCAAAAGAAAAAAGGAAATTTCTGAATATAAAATTTCACTTTTAACATTGTTTTTTGTCCTGTTAATTTCATTCTATCGTGAACATTTGTTTACTTATTTTCTAATAATCGAATTGTATTATTGCATTATATGAACAAATTTTTAAACGTATATATATGCATGGTAAATGTTGTTTCGAATGTGAAATCTTTAAAAAAAAAAGTTTAGTTATGAAATAATTATATCACTTTTATTGAACGTTAACGATAACGATTTGATGTAATTACGTAAGCGTGTGGATGCGTGTAAAATTCAAAAAAAAGAAAAGATAATAGGGAGGGGGTAAAGAAAAACAAGCAATTTTATATTCGATATAATACAAATAATGATTAAGATAAAAATAACTCTCTCTCTCTCTCTCTCTCTCTCTCGTAACATTTTATATGGGCCATCCTGTATAGAGATAGACACGGTCGCAACTTCGACTTTACGATCTAACCAGATTGCGCCGTAATCCGTTATTTAAGCGCATTCGCATCGTTCTGACTTCGGTTTATAATCCCGCATCACCGTGGACGAATCTTACGACTTTAAAAGGTTTTTTTTTCATTTTTTTTCTCTTCCTAAATTTCGTTTGAATTTTATTATTCGAACTTACAGTTTCGTTTCAAGATTATAAAATCATTTTCAAGGAGAAATAAATAAAATAATTCCTAAGGTCTCGTAATCAACGTCATTTAGATTATCCCAACGAGTTACCGGGGATGGGTTTTAAAACGTCATTATCTAACATTCAAATACGACCCTATGAATCTGAAATATTTCTTAGCAGATGCTTGCGCAAGTAATATACCATTATACTTATACTAAACGCGAAGCAACTAACGTAGGACGAAAAATGAAACGTCGACCTAGTTTTCTAGCGTGCCAATGGCTGCTGATCGGCAGTAAGACATACTACTCCTAATTAAGAATGGTCTTTATTGTCAATTAGCTATTGGGAATTAGCGTTGATGCGAAAAGGGGCAATTTTAGATGGTCTTAAAAGATTGCCAGTTTGCTGTTGGTTGCCTTTACCGTTTCTCTTGTTGTTAATTGTAAGTAACATGGAGAAAAAGGAAATCGATATCAATGGGTATTAGGTATAAAAAAAGAAAAAGTAGGGGAAATGGATAGAAGGGGTTGGTTAGGAGGGGTGTAAGGTGGGAAGGGGGAAGCTTAAAACAACGGATCGAATTTATTTCCAGTTTGATAATGATGACGATGATGACGATGATGACGATGATGATGATGATGATGATAATGATGATGATGATGACGACGACGACGAAGATGATGATGATGATGATAATGGTGCAAGATGGCCGACATGATGGCCGTCGAGAAGAAGAAAAGCTAACTATTGACTGATTTTCGTATACTCGATAACGCGAAGAACTCAAAGAAAAGGTGTTAGAGAAGCATAGTAATAGTACCCAAGACTGTTCCGGTCGTCCGCTTAAATAATTTAGCAGTAAACGTATATATATATATGTACGTGGTACGTTGATCGGCTCGTTATAAGCGGGTTGACAGGTCGGAGGTGGAGCAGAGCCGGTAAAGCCGCCATTGCGTGGTGTATTAAAATGCAAATGATCACTGTCACCGACGGCGTTTGTCGTAGTATTTCCTCTCCTCCTTCTCTTCTTCGTTTTAAATCGCCAGATATTCCAGATAGAATCTAAACCCTCCTCCCACCCCTCACTCTCACCCTCCGTCACCCTCTCTTTCTTTCTTTCTCTTTCATTTTCATTTTTTTTTCTATAGTCGTATGCATGAACACCATCAGCGAAATACCGAATAGTTTTTTACGTATCATATCGAAGAAAAAGAAGATGACACGAGGAATAAAAAAGAAGCAAACGAGTTATTTCGATACTCGATAATCCGTATTCTTCTTCTTTCTTCTATGCTTATAAATATCATTTTATAATTTGATGTTTTGAAGAAATATTGTATAATATTAATAAAAAAAAATTTGTAGCCATGTTTAATAACACTGTTATTTATTTTTAATCAGAGAGAGAAAGAAAGAAAAAGACATACGGAGATATTTGATAACGTTGCGAAATAAGTGAATGCTTCACGGTCACGTATCAGGCGATAAAACAATTGTGTAGAAAACGGTGTGTGTGTGTGTGTGTGTGTGTGTATCAACTTTCTTAGATTCTAAGTTTTCAAAAGTAAGCAGAGTAGATGACCTAATATGAAATAGCTTTCATATTTTTCTACGCATTGTCGTCCTAAATTTAATTCAAGAAAGCATATACGAGTTTTGAGTAATTGAAAACACGATGATAGGGGACACCATATCGTTAATAATAATTTGAAAAGAAAAATAAACTCAAAAATGAAAAAAATACAAATACAAATGTGAAATATATATGAAGATAAAATATTACCTGCCAAAAAGGGGATGCCAAAGTTGCGAATCATCCGGCGAGTTGGCCGTCGAACTGACTTCCGGTTCCTGTTTGAGCAATCCAGTTCGTACCCTGAGTAATGGCGGATAGGGGCTGGAGCGGCGATTGCTGGAGAGATCGATTGGCGCCGGCATCAGCGTGCCGATGGGCTTGCAACTAAGCTTGGGCCTTATTTGTGTACCGTTCCTGGTACCGTTGTTGTTAGCGTGACTTGATCCTTTGTTAACGCCGTTGCCGATCCTAGATTGGGATTGTCGTGACCTGGAGACAGGACCTTCTCCGTGATCGAGCACGTGTTGCAGATGACTCAACGATATCACTAATAAATCTGGATCTCTTAATAGATCCGGTCTCGTCAATGCTTCTGGTAATCTTAATTCTGGCCTCGAGGCTAAAAGTTTCGGAATTTCGGTAGCCGGGGCAGCGGCCAAAGCTGGAAGATAGTCACGTGGTACTAAAAGGGGATCAGGTATTAAATGACCGGATGTTTCTATCAACTCTCTAAGTTGACTGGCCGGGTCCAAAAGCTTGTCCGTACTGGTAGACGTCGCGTAACCCTCTTGATACTCCGTCGATTGCATTCTAGATCTTACCAATATTTTATGATAACCTGCTTGTTTTCTTAACCGATTAATCGTCCATTCGGCCGACATAGGTTTCTTCGCTGTACTACGATCGCTTATAAAGAGACTACTTTGAATATCACTATTCGACATTAGTCTTCCCGAATTCTTCATCTCTTGATTTTGTACGTTAGAATGTTCTTGAAAAGTTCGTACAGTTCTACGCGTACCACCAACGTTGGATCTTTCATTATCTTTGGAATAATCCGACCGAGGAGTAGTAGCCGTATATTCGTTTGATCCAGGCTCGCATCGATTTGACGTACTTTCCCTGTTTCTATCGTAATCTTTATTTTCAAGACAACTCGGGGATGATAAAATACCCTTTAAAGTCAAATCGTTTTTAGCATCTTCAGAACAGGACACCGAACAAGGTGGGCTTGGTAACAGTCTTTCCAAGTATACCGAAGATGGCCTTTTAGAGGCAGGCGAACACGGAATACCACTGGGTTGAGGCGAAACCACTGTACCGCGAGATCTAAGTTCTTCGAGGACCTGTTCATCAAAGTGTTCCACGTCCTGGTACTTGCACTTTGCTTGAGCTTCGCTACTACGACCGGAACCGTTCCATGCACTACCATCTGTACGATCCTTAACATTTTCTATAGGAGTATTGCGATCATCCTGATTGTTCCTAGAATTTGATCTATGAAAACAACCACTATCGACGCTATCAAAAACTAAAGAATCAACTTTTTGCCTTCTAAGATCTTCCAAAACTTGTGAATCGCAATCGTCTTCGTCGTCCTCGAGATCTCTTTCTTCCTCCTCCTCATGTGGGAAGTCAGTTTTTGGAAAATTAACAGTACTCTCTGGCGATTCCACTCTGTCCTTGGTTTTTGGTGAGGTCGAACTCGTCGTTGACTGTGAATTAGATACGTTACGATAACGATAATTCGGTATGACGATCGACAAACCTGGAAGGTTTCGAGGTAAATTTAATGCTTGACCACGGACATCGAACGATCTCGTTGAGGAGTAATCGATCATGGTACCTTTCAAAAGTCTTTCTACGTTTTCTGCCTGACTATCGGGTGATCTGCTCGACGAGGAACTTTTCGATGAGGGTCTGGAGGAAGGTGGGTTTATATTTTTGGTTACTTCTTGAGGATGAGCTCTCGTTATGGAAACTGAAAGTCCTGGAGTATTTCTAAGGGCGTTCAATATCGTTGAACTACTACTGTAATCTATCTTCGTTGGTCCACCGGGTTCGCTAGGTGCTTCCTCGTTTATTTTCGATACGTTCATAGCTACGTTGTTTTTCCATTTATGAAGGAGAGAATTCGATTCAGATTTGGAACGACTAATACCACCGTCAGCTTCTGCCACTTTGCAAGATTTGATATCGATACTACTACTATTATTATTATTATTACTATTACTACTACTACTACTGCTACTACTACTACTATTATTTTTGCAAGCAACAAAAGTTGATTCTTTTGATAAATGACTTTTTCTTTCGTCGAGATTTAAATTGCAACGCTCGAGTATCTTCTCCTCGTGTACTTCTAATTGATCACAATCATTAATATTATCATTATTTTCAACATTTTCTTTTTGATAATTGGATATAAAGTCTGTCCTTGATTTATTTTTTATTACCGTACTAGGTAAGGCAGGATCCAAGTCTTTGCTCTTCTTATCGCTAATTTTCTTTTGATATACGTTCTCGCTCAAAACTAATTCGAAAGTTTTGTTAGAATGCATAGGTAAGTCGGCACTGGGCGTGTCGGTTGCTAAAACGGGTGAGGCTGTGGCATCTATCATATTTAATATGTCTTGAATACCCTCTTTATTTTCTCGACATTTGTTCCTATCATTAATCTCTTCTTCCACTGCTTCTTCTTCCTCCTCTTCCTCTTCGTCCTCTTCATCATTATCCTCATCTTCTTCGTCTTCCTCACCGTCGATATCTTCATTCTGTCTTTCGTTGTTCGGTTCTTTATCTTCCACTCTATCCTTCTCGTCATCGTTGCATGTGTCACCGACTTCCTTAAGACCGTTCAGGATCTTATCACTCCTTCGTAAAAGAGCATCCCGATGATCAGGTAGCTGAGATAAGTGAAGATGTTCTAGGACTACTCTCGGTTGAAAGTGTATGTCCTTTTGCAATCTTTCGAGATTGCTTTTACCGTTGGTATTCTTCAAATTCATAGATCCGAAGGACCTACTCTTTTTTCTCCCGTCATCTTGCTCTTCGTCTTCGGTTTCATCTTCATCATCGTCGTCGTCATCCTCTTCCTCATCTTCCTCCTCTTCCTCCTCCCCCTCCGAACAGGAGACCCTTCTTCGATTCCTTTTCCATTCCCCGTTACTGACTCGTACTCCATTTTGAAGATTTTCCAATGGGTAATAATCCTGAGAATATTTCTTGTCTTTCAAAAAGTCTTCGTATCTACGCTTCTTACCGATACTTTCTTTATCGATTATTAAATTATTATTAATGCTAGTTGCGGTCACGGTCTTCCCATTTTCCTTTTCTTCGTTCGAGTTTGAACTCGACGACGTGCACGCCGGTGTAATTTTTTTTTCTTGATTCGTACCGAGACCGGTGGAATACATATTGGATGTCGTTCTCGGTATTGAACGCCATCCTTGCGCAGTCTTCGTCAATTTAATGCGATTTCTCTTGTCATAATCCTCGCATCTAACTTCGACTATCCTCTGTTCTCTTTGAGACGCCCAGAGGAATATCGGGTTGACCTTTGGTCGTTTTTCTTCCAATTCCTCGGAAGGCTCTTTCCGAGCGTGTTTTGGATGTTTCTGATGATGATGATGATGGTGGTGATGATGATGATGATGGCGTCTTTGACGTCGGGGCACTGTGCCCCGTGCAGGGGCCCCGCTCATCACTCCATGCAAAGAACGGTAATTACCCCGCCACTCGTCCAGCAAATTTTGACTAAAACTCACCAGTATTCTAACGTTACTAGACTTTTACTTAAAATTTCTTTCCTCTAATCTCTCTCTCCCTCTCTCTCTCTTTCTCTCGCTCTCTTTCCTTTCTTTTTCTCCTTTCTGCGAAATATAATAGCACTATGTAATCCTATTCTTTAAACACTTTAGCAGGCACTATTATTCGAACCTGTTTATATCTAACTTTGCACAGTTTTACTTGTAAATTTTCTTAAAAAAAACCTTAAGTATTCTTATCAAAAAGTACAATTACGACGTATCCTACAAAAGTTTCAAAATCTTCTCATATCATAAATTACTTCCAAACAAACGTTCTTCTTGTTATCTACGAAGAGTACTGAGACATTTTCCTGAAAACTCGTTCGCCAATGGGATCGCGCGCATCCGTCAGTTGGACATCGATTTAGCCTTCTTGTACCAATCGTTTGTTAGTCGTTCGAAGATTCGGTTAGCCGCATGTGCATAAGTCAATGACCTATCTCATTGATTTTAGATCGAATAATCAGCTACTTTGTAGCGATGATATAGTGGAAAATGTTGCGGTCGTTGTATTTGTGTTAAAACCAAAACAATCATCTCCATCGAATAAATTGATAGGAATCGTTTTGATAACCTTGCCGTTAAACTCCAGCTCTTCTTTCTCTGTTATGCACGAGAAAGTTTCTTGTTCTTCTTCTTGTTCTTCTTCTTCTTCCTTTTCTTCTCTACGAGGAGTTCGTTGACATCCGGCAGAGCGTTGGAGCGTTTCAGAGAACGACGTACTTCCTATGGTACTATAACTTTCCAGGTACACGCCAACGTTACTGATGATGATGCTGCTGTTGCTGTTGGTGTTGCTGATGAGGTCGGCGACGTTCATCTGGCTGTTATCGAACCGTGACACGTAGAAGACACACCACAAAGAGAAATAGAATTAATAGGAAGAAAATTAACGAGGACGCTAACGTCGATCTTCATCGAACTGATTATTATACGGCGTCGATTTGCATCGAGCTTTCGGCGTCGACTCAGTTCAAAAAGAGATAGATAGAGATAGATAGATAGATAGATAGATAGATAGATAGATAGATGGAGTGAGAACGAACGAACGAGAGAGAGAGAGAGAGAGAAAGAGAGACAGAGCTTGCAACTGGCAGCACTGTGTTCGACCAATTCACCTCAGCCCAAGCTCTTCTTCCTCCTCCACTTCTTCTTCTTCTTCTTCTTCTCCTTCTTCTTTTTCTTCTTCTTTCTTTAGGCTAAGGTATTTACTAGCAATAAATGCTAGCTCAGTACCGAGTAGTACCAACTCCAAAAATCCCAAATAATAATCTTTTTAAAGATCCTACGTACGATAGTATTTTACTTTTTCTTTCGTTTTGCACCTCTTTCTCTCAGGTTTATACCTGGAAGAAAATAATTTAGAGTAAATCGGAAATAACTAACGAATTAATATACGAATACAGCAGCGTGGTTTTACATACCCTATATTTTTGTTAGAAATAATCTAAGGATGGTAATGCACTCACGTTATCCTTGACCTTGAGTATTTAGATATTTAATATGATCGGAAGAAAATTTCACGTAAAAGGATTGTCAACTATGACATAATAACTAAGTGGGATGCACAGTTGCCGGTTATACATCATTACGCACGGTCACACTGCCTGGGAGCTACTGACTGTGCCTCCTTGTTGCCTTCCTCGTCGCCGCCATCTACCCCACCCCTAACACCACCCCCGCTCCGCAAAATCATGATACAGGGACGTCTCTATTCCCGGTACCACCTTCCTTCCGTCATCTTTTCTTTTTTCTTCTTTTTTTCTTCTACTTTTTTTCCTCTTCCAGTTCTTCAAATTGCTATCAACTTTATACAACTTGTTAGATAAATATATAAAACGACACTTATTATTATCTCTATGGACTGTAATTAAAATAACATTATGTTACGTATTTATATTGTAATTTTATTCCTTCAACCGACAAGAAAAAAATGCCTTATTTGTATTGCTAATTTAAACCTTTTTATTTCTTTCCAATATATATTGATCGTTTATTTATATATCTTATTATGTAAAATAATAAGAAGTAAAAAGTATTACAATCTTACTTTACTTTTATTCTAACATCATTTTCATTTGATGATAATAAATTAACGATAAAAATGAATATTAAACATGTATATTGTTTAGGGTTTTCAATTGTATACATTTAATGTTTAATTAAATTAGCTTTGTGTTAATTAAAAAGTTAATAAATTAGAGATTTTTGATAAATAAATAAAGACAAGAAAAATCTATAAAATAAAGATCTCACATTGGGATAACGTTGAGTTCGCGGAAAATTCCGTTTGTGAAATGTCTCAAGGCGACGAGGCGTCTTGGGTCGATACTGTCTCCTCTCTACCTACACCCCTCTCTCCCTTTACCCAGCAAGCAGCCCTCCGCTCACGGCCGGAGCACCGACCATGGAATGAGCCGAATAGGAGGAGTAGAAGAGATAGAAAAAGAGTAAGAGAGAGACAGATGAAGAGAAAGACATGAAGAGGAGGAGTGAAGAGCTTGGAAAGAAGGCTGGAAAGGGAAGGAATGGGATGGAGGGAGTTGGCAGGGAGGAGGAGAGGTAATGCAGGAGGAGCGAGAGAGAGAGAGTGGGAGCGCCGGAGGAGGAATTGTGGAGGGGTAGGAGGAGGGATACAACCTGTATATATGTGCATATGCATGGTATATGTGTACACCGTATATACAGTGAAGGTAAATTCAATTATAATGGCGTCAAACGGCGTAGCATGTTTGGACGATTTTGTGTTATTACCATTCCTATTCGAATTGTATGTACATAGAGTATTTTTTTCATTCTTTTTTTTCACCTGTGATCGGATTATATTTTTTAAATGATGGAAAAATGAAAAAGGAAATAAGGTTGAATATAAAATAATATAGGTATTATACTGTAATGTCGTCTTGTACACTTAGGTGTATGTGTGTTCGTATAAAAATTATGCTTATACGAATAGCATTTGTATAATGTGACTCTAACAAGTGGCACAAAAAAGAAGTATTGTCTAAAATATTATCGTTTGCGACTGACACTGTTTTTTTTATTAAAAATTTATGTTTATTGCATCACGAGTCTAGGATGGTCATGTTAACTTGTTTTAACAACTAAATTGTTTGTTTCAAATAGGTAGAGCTAAAGAGAGAAAGGGAGTGAGGGAGGAAGATGGGAGGGAGGGAGGGAGGGAGGAAAGAACAAATACGTATATAGAAGCATTAAGTGACTAAACGAAAGAACTGAGCTTCGAATTCACCCTATGCTTCTCTTTCCTTCAGGAAGTAGAAAAAAGAACGGAGTGTTTTTATGATAGAGGATTTTTACGATAAAAGGCTAAAAGGGAGATTTATTGTAATTAATTAAATAATTGGAAAAAAAGAGGAAGAAAGAAAATTGTGCTCAAATGTAAGATGTTAGACTCATCTTCAATATGGCCACAATAACGTTGATACCGGTTTCAAATAAAATTTTGTACTTCCGGTTCTTTTCCATTTTTTGGTTACGAAAAAGATACGATCTTGTTGTCCTTGTCATTGCCGTTCTCCTCCTTAACGCATTTCTTTTTGTTTTATTTCTACTTCTTCTTCTTTTTTTGCTTTCTTTAGTTTTTGTTTTTTTTTCTTATTTTTTTCATTCCTTCCTTATACGCATTCGCGGTGTTCGTGGGGCCGCGAGGTGAGCCGCACAAGGTCACGTGGACTTCGTCCACCATTGAACGAATGTACTTCACGTAGAAGGGAGACGTAACTAAGCGAGACCAAAGAACGCACGATACTTGCGACTATTTTGTTCTTAAGATAGCTGATATGATATACGTTCCTGAGTATATTTAGAAATAATATTATTTTTTCTTTGTACAAACATTTCCTCAAAATCCATTATTGCTAAATCGATTTATCAGGAAACACGTCTGTTTTGTATTTACCTGTCGAAATTCGGGTCGATTGATTTGTCGAATTCAATTGTTAATTGTGGTAAACCTTACTTATTTTATTTCTGTTTTTCTTTTTCAGATTGTTTTTGTGTTCCTTTTGAAAATCAATGTCTCAGATCATCGATGTTACTTAGGTAGGTAGTGATAAAGTCGGTTATATGGCTTCCATCAGGTAATCTGAGGGAGTTAATGTAAGGAATCACAAGAGTGTATCTGAACAGTGATATAGGATACACCAGAACAACTACGATACAGTTACCATAAGGTTTTTACTCCCTTCTTATCAAAGACATTTGAATATATTTGCATCTGTTGTTTGATTTAAATTCATTATTCTAACGTTGCGCAAGTATTGATAGTTGTTTTATTTTTTTTAATTTAAAAACAAGGATACAACGTATTTGAATAAACGACTTTTTATTTAACGATAATATTTTCAATTTTCTACGTACTAACCTACTTAAATATTTCAATAGTAATATCACAAATTAGAATTACAATAAAATCTATTTTAGACAACACACAAGAGAGTTCTGTATTACCGATCGATAAAACTTTGAAGTTTGTCGTATTTTATCCTAGAGAGCGGACTGATTCATAAGAGACAATAGAAAATTTCAAAATACAGAAATATAGGTTACTAAAATTTTGCTTTTTATGCATATAAGAAATTCAATTCTAAACACAAATAATTTATAATTGATAATTAAATGTCTTCAGAAATTCCAAATGCACGTATCGTCTATATCCGGACATACTTTGTTAATCATTCATCAAGAATTTTGATTATATGGGGGGCTTTCCCCAGTTATGTATAATTCTTTTAAAAAAAGATATTTAAAAAATACTTGTACCTTTTCTCACAAAAAAATTGAGTAAATTTTGATTTGTCTAATCACTTTTGTTGCGTATTTTCGAAATCTAAACAAAACAGAAGTCTTGTAAAAATCAATTTTAAATTTTTGATTTTTTTTCCATGAAAACCACCAGTAATCCTGGAACAATAGCCTACTTACGTCACCAAAAACTACGTCATTGAATTTTTAAGTATTCGAGTCATCGTCTAGTTAACCTTTTCTCCTTCCAATTCATTTTTCATAATGCTCTATATATTCTAATTTATGTATCTAAGCATATGCTAATCATCAGTTTTTTGAATAGTTTATTTCAGTTATTATTATTCTTGATTGATTTTAATTAACAAAGTTCAAACCTCAAAAGTGAAAATGTAAACGAGAAACAGCATTTTTCGATATCTTCAAAAGCGTATTCTTCATTAAAATTTTTTGTTTTAACATGAAATGTGTTATTCAATAAAATTGGTTAAGAATTACGTTCAAATTTTAAAGTTAAACACTGTTTTCGACATTTTGAACATTGAAACCTTTGATCGGCATTACGTCAATGGCTAAATTTATTATACAGCGTTTAGTTCTTCTCGATGATTATTTAAGGAATAGGAGTCTTTAAATACTTTGTTTTCATCGAATTCGAAATTTAGAAGAGGATGTGTAATATAAGATCCAATTTTGATCTGATAACCTTTTTGAATCATCCTTTTTATCATTAGAACGAGATAAAAATAAAATGAAAGAAAAAAATTATGTATTCAATGAGTCATAGGGGTATTCGTACCGACTCCCACTGTAAATTTGAAATAATTGACATTTGCTTGTAAAATGCAAAGCTTAGACATTCTATATATATATAATACACAGAAATCTATTTTAAGATAATACAATTTTCAAAATGATATATCTATTTTGTTGCAGAATAATATTTTTTTGTTAAAGAAATATAATTTTACATGAAATTTATTTTAAATTATACAAAATTAATCTCGCTAGAGTATATTTGCATTTGTATACGATATAATAAAATGTACTTTAGTAGTAAGTTGACTCTTTTTTGAATTTTTTGAATTAATTAAAATTTAATAATCCTAAAATATATTTTTGTATATAAAAATTTGAAAATATATTGTGTTACATGAAAATTTTGATCATTTTTAATTGACAAGGATAATACTAATATTTCTGTCACTCGTATTTAAAAAACAAAGATCAACAATTCCACGTCTTAAAATTACATAATTAATTTAATAATAAAATTAACGTTGAAATGCAAACTTTTGTAAAGTTTTATGAAATAAAAATCTTGCATCAATATTCAATCATCTGTTATTTTGAATAAAGAAAAGGAATATACGCGTTAAAATAATAAAACACGGAAGTAAATTCAAACTATTCGTACTTACAAATCTATGCCGATTAACTCGAACGATGATAACAAACCTGCCTACAATGATTCTCAAAATATACTATCGGACCATGATCTCGGAACAACTCTTTTCTTAGAGTTGAATAAATATTGAAGTTAAAATATCAAAATCTAAATATTTCTCAAGAATAAATTCACTTGATATTACTGGTTACACTGTAAACTAGACAGCAAGCAAACGACTTTTTGCTTTACCAAGAATACAATTTCAATCAATAAAAAAATATAATCATTATCAATAAACGTAAAATATTCTCAACTGTTGTATTCAAGGACTTTTCCTCGAAGAGAGATTTTCCCTATTGATATCATAATACAAATCTTTTATAATCGGTAATGATGATGAAAAAAAAAAAAATATGAACAAAGAATTAAAAAATGTAGACAAAAACAGAAAACGTAAAAAAAAAACAGATTTAATTTTTAAATCTAAATAAACGTTTAAAATGCATGACGTGGGTGGAAAGAGCGCGTGACATTTTATGAAAACAATTTTTTCATTTGACGTCTTATTAATAATTTTAATAATTTTATATACGTATATGTATGTACGTAAATTTTTAATACATACTTATACATACATAATATATTTTTATATAAAAATTAGATGAGTCAACTGGAAGCATTGAATATTTTTGATAAAATATATTTAAATATATGTTTGATAAAAGAGAGAGATTGTTTTGATAAAAAGAAAGTTCACAGCAATTTCTTAATAAAATAAAATTAATTTTTAAAAGGATCTGATATCAAACTAAAATTGATGAAAATAAGAAAGAGATGATAAAAATTAAATTGTTTATAAATTTATCATGTGTGACAAATGTGCACATTTATACTATCACTTATAGTTTCGTGAAAAGAAATTTTTATAATTTTCCAAAATATTGACAAAATTATTAAGAAGAAAATTTGGACTTTAAAATTGTTATTTATGAAAAATTACAAAAAATTAGAAAAAATAAGAAAAGGAAAAAAAAAATAAAGAAAAGATTATTCAGTGATATGCATCTTATACTTTGGATGATACATCTTCGTGGTATCTACTCTTATACGTTGATTATTATTCACGTCTTGAAACATGTGATCAGTTTCTTACCAACCGTGGATCTGTAAACTGCGTGTATCGTGTTGTTTGTCGAATTATCGTCATAAACTAACAAATAATTAATTATATATATATACAGCTAATTAAATATATGGTTTAATAAATTATAAAAAGTTGATTATGTTAAAAATCTTAAATGATCATTACAAAAAGTATTTACTTTTCAATTATTTCTTAAACATCATACTTAAATCATTAAAAAACTAATAATAAATCTTAACACATACGTGTTACATTCGTATTTTCAAATGACATATTAAATCTATAGATTACACGGTTTCATTGATCTTCCTGGTGTTGCATGAACAAAGTATATATGTGAACACATTTTCGAAAATATTAACAAACCATTTTTTTAATTCTTATTGTTAGAATATTTGTAGATTTCTTGTATTTTGTTTAATTCTTTTTGATAATTTGTTTTAATTAACATTTATCTACGAAGTTCGAATGTGTTTTATTATTATCGTATGGGAAATAGTATTAACGTATACCTGATTATTATTTTGCAAAATACTAGCGATTATTTTAATTATTACGATTATTATTATTATTATATGAAAGACTGTATTCAGTAAACGAGGAAAAAATATTGTGCTCGTCCGGAAACCGCAAATGCTGATAATCCTTGAGACATATCAGTGTGGTATACAAACGATGTCAAAAAATAAAACAAAAATAAGATAAAATATTATTTATTTAGTCAATATTTTTTCAATATATTTAATTAATATTTTATTCGATAAATTGTCGGTATAATTAATAAATACTGGGCCATTTGTACAAAATATTCACAATTTGTGGTATTAAGTTAGTGTAATTACCATTTATATTGCATCATAATATATTATAATTATAATACCGACCATTTATTTACAATACTGATCAAAAATACTGCAAAATATTAATCAAATAAAGTAAAATATTTAAAATGTTTTTTTTTACGAGTATCGAAGTATCAATTTGACGAGAAACATGTGTAGCATTACGTGTAACGTATCATCATTGCTGTCCTTTTTCATACTAACCATTAGTCTCGTTTTAATATCGAGAGTGATTATTGTCGAGAGTACAGTGCCCCTCATTCATTCTATTCCATTGGTATGTTAATTTAAATTATTAAAAAATTCAAATTCGATAATAAATAGGACACACAGAATATAAAAAAATAAGATATTCAGTATTTGAGTTTTGCAGAGAATTGAATCGAGTTCGAATTCCTTTAGCGAACTTGATTGACCTTGAATGAAATTTTAATTAAAAGGTTGTTATCGATTTACATTTATATTCATAAAACAACATTATTACCTTATGAAATTTAAATTTATTTCCCAAAGTAATTTCTCTTTTTTTTTTTTTTAACAAGCCAATAAATTTATTTTAACAAGTAAATAAAATTCATTAATACATTTTAATTATTGTTATTTATTTTCTTAACACAGAAAAATGTCACGAATATACCAGAAGAATACAAGGATCTACCAGTAGTAGCACAATGTTGTCCAATGAATCAAATTCTATTTCGAGATGAAAAAACGGGTACAAAGATATGTATTTCTTTGATCTCATCCGATCAAACGTTCTCCCCATATTTTCATAAATCTAATTCATCTGGTTTATGGAGTACAAGGGAAAAACAAGACAGTTTTGTCGCAGTCGTTGGTTATCCTTGTAATTATGACAGGTAATTTATGAATTTACAATAAGTGTACGATAATAATAATAATAATAAGAATAATAATATATTTTTTGAACAATAAAATAACTTCAACAAATTTGCACAATCATTTCCTCCGATTTGTATGATAATATCAATGATCAACAAATAATCCGATAAGTGTTGGTTATAAAATAAAAAATGAATATTTACGATAAGCATAATAAATGTATTCTTATTTATCTCAATTGTCATCTTATTATTCATGGACAAAAAAAAATGTGAATAAATAATGAATGAAATTTATTAAAAGACAAATGTTCATCTTAAACGTCAGCTTTCGTGTATCAGCTGATAGGATGTTTAGTTCTGTCTTTCTTTCTTACTTTGTTATTTTTAACAGAATATTTTTTTCTTTTTTAATATCATTTGAAAAAGAGAGAATTTATTTGACAGCTTATCGATAATTGGTCAAACAAATTATCACACGGAATATCATCAAAATTCATTTTAACCTTTAGCAAAACCTTATCGATGTACTTACACGCTCAATTGATGTACTAAATCCTATCGATGTATCAATATGTACCTACATAATCTACCATCTATTAAAAAAACAAACTTTTATATCAAAAATATATATATTTACAATTGGTATCATAATTTATGATAGACTAGACGCTCTTCTTATTTTATTTTTTAAACCTAACTTTCAACCGATTACAAATTACGTTTATACTTTTATTTATATATTTCTTGTTACAGTTTTGAATTATATCCAATAAACAATTCTTATTATCTTTTATTTAATGGCTCGATATATTATCCTTCGTATAAACCTTCAATGCTCATGCCTGGTAAAGATTATTGTATGGAATACGTTCCTGAATTAGGATTACGAATTAGAGTATGTTTTCCAGAAGGTATAATAACATTATTTCTAAACATAATTAAAAATTAAATTTACTTTCAAAATACTCAAATACACTTCATTTTGTTTTATAATTTCAGATGTTCAAGTAATGAAAGCCAGTCCAGAGAAATTGTTTAGCATCCTCGGACTTTTAACATCCACAATACTTCTAATCTTCACTATAATTATTTATTTAATAATACCAAAATTAAGAAACATATATGGACGCGTAATTTGCCATTATTGTGGATGTCTTGCAATAGCGTTTATTATTTTAACTATATTGCAACTTGATGGTGTATATTGGAATCGTTACACGTGCATGATTATAAGTGAGTTTAGAAACATAATCAATTTTAAATTAGATCAAGTATCATTTTTAACAACGTTTGAAGCAATTAACTACATACGAAACTCGTTGCTCTATTTTTCCTATTCTGGAGTAATGTAATTTCCTATTACGTAGAAATATATTACCTTATTAATAATTAATTAATAATTCATTGATTTTTACAGGTTACATTATCCAATTCTTCTTCCTTGCCTCGCATACTTGGTTGAACGTTTTATGTATAGTTACGAACAATTTAATACGAAATTATGTTAATCATGCATCGATTTTACCACAAACAAATAAAGCACTCTTCTTTTATTATTCCTTGTGTGCTTGGGGCTCTTCAAGTATCCTTATCATTACAGACATATGTCTTAATCTCAGACCAATGAAATTTACTACTGAAAGTGACAGCTGTTGGATTGATTGTAAGTTGACAAATATATTATTAAATTTTTAATTACCGATCCATATTGAAGTCATAACAAAAGTGTTAAATATTAGGTCTGCTGGACAATTTGTTCACATTTCAAACATAGAAAAATATAATTTTTATAATTAAAACTAACAAACTTTTCGGTACTTCTAATATAATTCATATCAATGTGTTATTATCTTCATGAATGTTACTATATGTAAGAACAAGTGATTAGATTTTATTTATTATTAATTTTCATTTCTTATAAAATTTACGTAAATTCTATTTAAAACTATTTTTGTGAGAGAAAATTTTTCAAAAGTTAATTTTATTTTCTTATATTTTATTTATTTTTATTTACCATGAAGAGATTAACCTATTAATATACGATAAATAAATAATTTATATATGTAATTATAATAAAATTTTAGCTGACATCAAGTCGACGTCGTTCTACTTCTTCCCAGTGTTAATATTCTTAATAAACAATTTAATTGTTTTTATCTTAACTGGGATAACAATAAGACGATTCAAAAATGATCTCAAAATCCAACTGTTGACCAGAAATCAAGAATGCGATCAAAGGAATCAAAAGATGCTAAGTGTTTTAAATATAAGCCTAATTGTACCCATAGTATTATTTTTCTTTTTGGCATTAACTTGGGCCTTACAATTTATCACTTGGGATAATGGTATTAATTCATTCGATTGGTATCCTTTGAATTTAGTTAATGCAGTTCATGGTTTTTTTGCATTCGTCATTTTCGTACTTCGTAGGCCAATACGAGGTTTAATTTGGGATAGAATACAAAATCTTTGTAATAGTCAAAGACAAACACCTAGACTAACAAATATTTATAATCAATTTATTTTACACCCTTTAAGAATTGAAAATTAAGATTCACATTACCTCTGGTCGAATGATTTATATACCAGGGCATATAAAACCTTTTCCAATTTTTAAGATCCCTTTTATACCAACCAATATTTTTGCGATCTTAAATACAGATTCTTTAGTATCTTTTTTTTTATTATCATAAACTCACGAACGTACTATACATGTAATGTTGCCAAACTGGTTTTGAATTCACTTTCAGCCATTGTATATACCAAGAATTTGGTAGTTACTCGACCCCATACAGGGTTGTAGGATAAAAATATTTTAATAAAATTAAGACCTTCAGCTTATAGATATTCAATATTTTCGATTGGTAGTATAAATAATACGAAAATAATATATGTGTATATATGTAATATATGTGTATATGAGTAATAATTATATGTGAAGATTATTTGATATTATGTAACTAATTATTATACACATGTATAATTTTCACTGAAATTTTCGATAATGAAGTTAATAGAACAAAGATTAGATTTTTAACGAAAGATCTCAAATTTGTGATCAAGATATTTGATTGGCTCCTATTATTTATTTGTATTTGTATTTGTATTTGTATGAACAAAAATTACAGAATTAAATCTGTAAAAATACATTTCTATGATGATTAAGATATTTACTTATTTTTAATAAAATATATTTTATAAAGCACAGCTATAATTTAAATATTATAAGACCCTCGAAATATCGGCGCGTTTGCCATGGGCAAAAAGGGCAATTATCTTGAGACCATCATCAACTGATGGGCCCGAATGTCAAACAATGTTATTTAGTTTTATTTTTAATAAAATGATATCTACAATTATTATTATTATTTATCTTTTATGTATGAGTAAGAGCCAATGACTTGGGGATTCCCATCAACAGGGAGCCGAAATATCAAACCAGTAATTTTATTTTATTTTGAATAAAATGATATCTATAATTATTTTCTTATGAGTAAGCGTTAGAATTATTTCTGAAGAAAAATTCAACGTTACACGTAATATCCTTAAAATTAAAATCCTTAATTACCATTAATATATATTAACCTAATTTAATAATTTGTTTCTCCTTATTAACGTTAACAAAAATAAAATCTTATATTTGAATTTGAATGAATGAAAAATATCCAAGTGTAAAAAATAGAATAAACAGTATTATTATATATTAAGCAATACGCGATTCATACTTATTTCTTTTTAATTCATTATAATATAGTTTGCATAATTGCATAAATCTTCAAATGAAAAATAAACGATTATAATGATCGAAAGGGGGAAAGAATAATAGAAGATCCGTAAATTCAAAATTACGACGGCTAACTTAGTATTGTATCATCTTAAGTATGTGGATCTGTATAAGTGTTTGTATGTGTATGTGTTGAGTAGGTTTCCTTACGTATACGTAGAAACGATCTCGGACACCAATCGATAAAACCTTGAGAGTCTTGAGGAGTCTGGCCAGTGCCTTCCCAGACGTGGATCCGTAAACTACGTGAAATCAAAGTATTTGACGTGTTTCAGTGCGTCATCGTGTTAATTCAATTTTAATATATAACCATACGTATTTAATTACTCCATATTTGAAACAATTAAGTTATTTGCATATTGAATGCGAATGAAAGAAAACAATTCGTATCAGGAAAAGAACAAGAGTACTTATTTAAAATCCTATAAATGCATAATACCGTTCTTTAATTTTTTTTTCCAAGATCGTTGAAGTTTATCAGAAACATTCCAAAAATCGTTTGAAAATGACTCATGAATTTACTAGAGCAGCAACACGTGTTTTTAATTCAAACGTTTTATTTTCATTTCTTCGATCAATAGAATTCCTCCTTCAATCTTCCTACTCTTTCGATCTTTTCATCTGCAACTTGTGAAAGTAAATATTTTTCTTAGAAAATAGAGAAAGTTGAGTCAATTTCAAAAAAAAAAAAAATAGAAAAGAAAAAAACCTACGTGTTTCCCCATAAATTAAATCATTCTCAATGAACTGAGTTTGTATTTTTGGATAAAAGTATTGGTCAGATTTCTGGGTTAAGGAACAAACTATTATTATTATTATTCGTTCCTTTCATTTCTCACGAATTCAAATTCCTGGAATTCTTGGGAAAGATTACCCACTCCAAATCTGAAGAAAGATGAAGTCATTAATTTGTATTTTATGAACGTACTTTCCAATCATCAATTGAATCAAACGAATAATCGCGTTCGAATGTGTTTGAATTTATTCATTAACATCCAAGACTTGTGAACAAGTGTGTGTGTCTGTACGTATGTGTATGCATTCGGGTGTAGGCGTGGATGTGTTAAATTATTATTATTATTATTATTTAACGAAACGTGTATATAAAAAAAATGAAGGAGGATACTTGATGGACAAGTAACTTGTCAGCTGAAGTGTTAATAATTAGTAGTCAAGTATAAAATTCAATGAAATAAAATTTGTGCACGTTCATTCGAATATCCAGTAACTCGTTTGAAAAGCAAACATTACTTCTAATCACGTTTAAAAAATATATTTAAACCTTGACAAAGATACTAAGAATAAGTGAAATAACTTGAAGAATAAACAAAAGATTTAACTACGTACGTTGAGTGAAAAAACACAGAAAAAAAATAATAAATATTTTTCAAGGAAAAAACAATAGGTATGCCAATCATTCGCAGACGACAAATGGTTTTAACTTTTCAATGTACGAAATACGAAACTTGTAAAATTTCTTGAAATATTTCTCATAAAAAGTGACAAACAAATTTGATCATTAGTGTTTATTTAATTGAAAGAAAATCAAATTAAAAATTAAAATGTATCGAAGTAATTGTTTAGTGAAGACAAATTTATGGAGAATCATGGATAATTCATGTTCATTAGTACCTTTTGTTTTAAAATTTCTTTTAATGTCAAGACTGATTATCGCCGAGGGTTCAATACCCATCATTTATTCTATTCCACTGGTATGTTCATTTTATTTATTCATTTATTTATTAACGGGAAGTGGCACCCTTTCATACATACGTAAGTTGAATAAACAGTATTCAGGAAGAGATAATAGAAAACAAAAAATTATAAATATAAAATAAAAACTACAAATTTTGTATTTCATTAGAAAAATGTTAATTCAATGTTATAACGCATTATGTTTGTTATAAAGTTAAGGTTTCTATAGAATCGTATCGAATTCGATTTTTTTTCTTATTTTCATACAATACAGTTCTCACACGTATGTATGCATAAGCGTGACATAACCCGGAATGAAATATTTATAACGGTATCGTTATCGATTTACATTTATTCTCTCGTAGAAACACTTAATGCATTTATTTTTAATCAATTTTCCACAAAATAACTTTCGTTGAAAATAACCTCTCGAATAAAATGTAATTTTAAATAATAATTCTAATTTATTATTTCTTCTTTTCTTTTTTCATTTGCAGGAAAATGCCACGTCAATTTCGGAAGAGTACAGAACTTTGCCATTGGTGGCAAAATGTTGTCCGGTTAATGAAATATTAATTCGTGACGAAGAACAGAGTTCAAAATGCGTTTCATCGCACAATTATTCGTACGAGTCCATATTCTCGCCACTTTTTTGTGATTTCAATTCATCCGGTATTTTGATACCTGGGGATGAACATGACCATTTTGTTGCAATCATTGGAGAACCTTGTCAATATGACAGGTAATTGATATTTCTGTTCATCATCTTTACGATAAAAATGAAAAATTAGGTGTAGCAATTATTCCGGTAGCTTTTTAAAACAAATTTTATATTTATTTAATATAATAATCATATATATTTGTTATTATTCGAAATAGTCTTCATTACTTTTCAATAACTTTGGTTCATCTTTAAGACAATTGTCGAATTTCTTGATAAATAAAAAGAATACCGATTTTGATAAAATAAATTTAATATCATAGCAACGAATTAATTTCTACACCTAATAGATTTTTTTTATAGTAAATAAATTCACATAATCATTTGATTATAGTTGCGCGTATCGAACGCGTATCAATGACCAACGACAAATCGTTTGATAAGCGTTCAAATCGAAACGCAAGATGACTGTATTCGATAAACCTGACGGACGTGTTTATCTCATCTTATTTTCTTGATACAAGTGTGAAAATAAAGAAAAAAATAAAAGAAATAGAAATAGATAGATAAAACGGGAAATATATCCTCGACAGTGAACGCGACATTGTACAACGCATACATTTTTCCACAAAGAATATTATTTACCTAACGTAATGAAAAAAAAGAAAATTGAGAAAAAAAAATTATTATTTCCTCGACTTATCATAACTCAACCGGATCGAGTATCATCTATTATTTATCATCATCGTAATCAATTTCAAAGCTAACAATAAGACTTTATCGTTATACTTCTTACGTAAAATTTATATACGTAGGCCCTATTTTTGTCTTTTTTCATTGGAATGTTCCAAGATCATCTTTACTCGATCGATAAAACAATCTCTGACTAAATATATTCGACATTGTATCGCAGATACGAACGGAAAAGTCATTCGTATTGGTTATTGATTTTAACGAGATACATATATCATACACGTTTTAAATGATGTTAACTTATTTTTAAAATACAAAATAATTTTTTTTTCTCTTTTTTTTTTGCAGGTACTTATTATCCCCAGAAAACAATGTGGAAGATAAACATTACCTTTTACTCAATGGTACTATTTTTTTACCTGATTCTCTTCCTCGAATGCTCACGCCTGGGGTCGATTATTGTATGGAAGTAACACCAACGTTGGGTCTGATAACAGTAGTCTGTTCTCGGAACGGTAAATATAACGTACAAGTACTAAACTGAAAAAAAAAAATTAAAAAGAAATTACATTGTAAAAATAATCTAAGGAGAAAACTCACATAAAAATTTGATTATTTTCATTTTTAGAAGATAAAATATTGATGGCGGACACTCGAATTATTTTTTATGCCTGTGGACTTTTAATATCCGTACCATTTTTAATACTCACCATAATAGCTTATTCAATAACGCCTAAATTAAGAGACATTTATGGAAAAATACTTTGTCATTATTGCGGATGTTTGGTATTAGCTTTTACTGGTTTAGCAATTACGCAACTTGGTGGTGTACATTGGGAAGGTCATACGTGTATAGGAATAGGTAAGTTTTTAAATAACAAAAAAAGAAGAAAGAGAACTAATTAAAATTCTATCAATAATTCACAAGAATTCATTATGATAATTCATTCGATTAGACTTTGATTCTATTAATTGAATTCATTATAAATTAATTGATCTACTTTACAGATAAACGTTTGAAACTAAATACTTTCATTTAAGATTAATGTGTTATTACCTTATACTATCTTATTTATAATTAATATGATGAAACGATCGATGTTTGATTTTATTATTTTTTTTTCTATAGCCTTCGTTATCCAATTCTCGTTCGTGGCCTCTTATTTCTGGTTGAACGTGATGTGCATCGAGACATGGTTATTGATACGAAATCACGTTCATCATGCAGCATACAAAAAAATCAAACCCAATGTACTGTTCTTTTATTACTCGATATGGGCTTGGGGTTCCGCTGGTATTCTTATTCTATTATCTATAGTACTGGATCTGAACCCAACGATACCTATGATATACGTAAAACCTAACTTCAATAGCGATAGTGAAAACTGTTGGTTTAAATGTAAGTTGCCATCAAATTATTTAAAATACGATAATTCATACACGATGTTTAAAAAATATTGTTTATAATTTTAGCGGATACCCAATCGATGCCATACTTTTACGTGCCAATGGTGATGCTCTTATTAGTTAATTTAACATTTTTTATTCTAACTGGAATAACGATAAGAAAGTATCAAAAGGATCTTGCAATTAGACGATTAGCAAGAAATCAAGAATCTGATCGACAAGATCAAAGGATGTTTCGTAGTTTGAAAAGAACATTTATAGTTTGCATAGTATTATTTTCTTTAATGAGTTTAACTTTGACTATGGAATTGATATCCTGGTGGACTGGTGGTAATCCGTTCGATTGGTCAGTTTATGATTTGATAAATGCTCTGCAAGGTCTTCTTGTATTTGGTCTTTTTGTATTACGTAGACCAGCTCGAGATTTGATCTGGTACAGGATACAAAAACTACGTGGTATTGATGCGGTCGAACCGCAAACTGACACCGCTGCTTTTAGTCTTCTTACTGTTATCAATTAAAATTAGAATTAGTTAATAATTAATTTATGAGAGATTATTTGGTATTACATAATTGGTAACTCTAGGTTTGTATCTAGTGCGTCTATATGTGAGCGCGTGTGTGTGTATGTGCATGTGTATATATTGTGCAAGTTTTATATTAAAACGATTAAACATAATATTTTATTGACGTCAAATTCAATTCGACAACGAACTGATAGAACAAAAATTAGAATTAATTGAATTATTTAATGAATTTTAATTGATTATATATTATTATTATATATATATATATATATATATTTAAAAAGAGAGAGAGAGGAATGTTTATAACTTAATTGTTAATGTATATTTTTTTATCTGTGCTAAGATCATATAATAATTATTAAATTGCATAGAAAAACATTAAAGTAAATGTTAAAGAAATTATGCAACAACTTTATAATAAGATGTTTTCTCAACATCTTTATAAATGATATTGGTATATAACTGACAATGAATTTTAAGTATGCGTGTCTACATCAGTTATCTAATCATTAGAAGTTGTATGTCATTAATTCTAACTTTATTTAATTCATCGTTAAAATATCTCTTTTTTTTCCATCATAAAATGATATTTCAAATGATCAAATTATAAACGGACCTTGAAGAAATCCTGTAAATTTCATCGTCCTGTTATTACTACCATTATTTTATTAAACTATATTATACCCTAAAAAATTGTTCGGTCTTTGTTATTATTGTTATTATTTATTTATATTGTATAACTTTATCTAGCCCATTATTTAAATATTATCGATCTATATATGAGTCATCCATGAAAAATCCCTGTATGACTTACCAACCGACCCATATAAGGGTTGTATACCATGCAACGATAAATATAATAAAAATATTTATTTGAATTAAGAATATTTAATATTTGTACATAATGACTGAGGTTTAATTTAACAATGAAATGCAATGATAAAAAATATTATTACATTTTATTTTCATCATCATATATGTATATATATAAACATATATCATAGTATATATTTATTATTTCGTATTCATATACACGATTTATTGTTTTGTATATATACCCAAACTCGTATATAAATTTTAAAATTGTAAGTCATTATATATTGACTTACATATCCAGTCAACAAGCTCCGTTATTTAATAACGAACAATTTAAAAAATTTGTTCTCAGAAGAGTGCACGCGTGCATGTATTAATTAAAAACATTTCTTACATTTAGATAAAATGCTTTAGTGCACTCTAATAAGCTTTCCAAGATACACATAAGGTAATTAAGCGCGAGTGCATCCGAGCAATAAACTCAGAAGCATTAACCAGGTACCAAAAATAACATTTAAATATTTTCAACTAAATTCTCTACATATATATTAATAAAATGTATATATATTTATTTATATACTTTACGAAGATCAGATGTTAATAAAAGTAATTTGATAAAATATTTATTTTGTTGATAAGAAAAAATTCACATCTAATAATACAATACGTACAAAATATTCTCCAAGAATTCAACTCCTGATCTTCGTACTCTATAGCTATACAGCTATATAGCTATATATTTTATGTTAAGTTTTCCCATTAAACCTCAATACGAATGCTATACACGTTATATTTCTTTGTTCGATGGAATTATCACAATAATAGGAAATAAGTATTTAATCGATCCTTTATGATCGGAGGCTTTGAAAAGCGACATTTAAATTATACAGCATATATTAACCTCTATTTTGCGTGTCTTATTTTCTAATAGAAAATAATCATTCTTTTTGTAATAAAATTTCAAATGAGATCAGATCAATTTTTATGTCATTTAGAAACTATTCAACCTGTGCTATAGGTTTCCGTCGTATACGTATATATAATTAATTAATAAATTTACATTTTGTAAACGAATGTTTATAAATCATTTGCCATGGCAAGATTTCTAATATAATTGTCATTGTATTAAAAAAAGAAGAAAACATATATAATTCTTTTTGGTCAATTATTCTTCTTAGGCCTATCTATTAAAATTAATTACCCAAACCAAACTATCTTACCAATCAATATCGTCATATACACCAATAAAAATCCATTTTCGTTGATATTTCCAGACTATTTACTATTTCATAAAAATAATTTAACTAATTTTTCTGGTCTTTGACAGATTCGATCAAAGTGGTCTACGATGACCTGGAAATGGTGGGCTCATACCAAGAATTCCTTTCAAATCACCACGTTGCGCAACGTAAATTAAACGATACATTCCAGGAATTCTAAGGGCCGATTCGTTAAAAAATATTCTTTCCGTTAACGGTTCAGAAGGCCCTATTTCTGAAGTTTCTCCTGTTCTACCTAATGATAATTATAATATTTATTAGACAATAGACAATAAATTTCAATACAATAAATAAAATAAATTATATTTCTTTTTACCTCGTCCAACGTATTCATAAACGATGTAATCGTCTAAACTAGAAAATTGATTATGAAAAAGACCAATCCAATCACCACTGACTGGTCTTACATCACCGATCAATCTATACGATACTGAATTTTCTTCATCTATAAACCAAGCGGTAACTGGCTGGAATTCAACACCGTTATCTTCCACATGTGGCCTGATCTAAATAAAATAAATTCAAATTTTACATGTAGAAAACAAGAAATATATGTAGAAAAGAAAATAATTTCATTACCGTGATATTAAATTCACCGGTTACAGGTTTGTGATCGGATTGAATTAAATTAGGGTGACTTTTGTAATTAAGTTGTACTGCACTTAATGTAACATCATCATATACATTTGCATTAACTTTATACAAAATTCTATCCGTCCAAGATGGTCTACGCCTGTAAGAAAAAATTTGTAATAAAAATTATAAAGACAATTTATATAATCAGCGTGTGAATTATATTTGAATCATAGTATACTTGAGATCATAATCTTGGGAAGCAAATTCAAATTTGTACGTAGGAGGAAATTCTATATCATTTTCATGAAGTTCAGCAAATGCATCACCATTTCTCATCACCATCTTTAATTGGTCCCTTTCTAAAAGTAAATTTAATTGATTCTTTTTAACTAACAAATCAATATCAACTGCAGTTAAATCTTCTCCATGAAGTCTAAAATTTAAATCTCCAATCCAAAATACATAGCTGAAAAAGAATTAAAGCAATTGTTCATAAACTTAATCTACATAAAAATCAATCTACGTATATATCCATGTTATAAATATATATATATATATATGTATACAAACTCATGAAATAAAATATTTGATGTGTCAGGTGCAGTAAAAGCATGTTCTCTAAGAATAGTATTATAATCCGATATTCTATCTGCTAATAGATGATCGTGGGGTGTAAGATGTGTGTTTACAACACAAATACTAACACCGTACAAATTAAATCGTATGCTTACGGCACCCTTGTTACCCTAAAAAACATATATTTTTATATATAATAAATATTTGTATAAATAGAATTTTTAATATCAATCTCTTACCCACATTCCACCAAACCCTGTTCTTGTATATTGCGCTTCGACCAATCTTAAATGGGTTATATGTTTTCTTAAACAGAAAAAATTTAGAACGAGCCCCTGTAACCGTTGAGAACGGATTTTCACATAATCGTAATCTTTTAATACATCTCTGTAATTATTAGCGTTAAAATATAGAATTTGTATCGCTTTATAATATATTTAATTGTCACAATATTAAGGACAAATGATTAAAATATTTGTTGTGTAAACTTGCCTAAACGATTTGGTCCATGGATCCTCTTGAAACAAAGTATCTAATAACATATTCTGTGGTTGTGCCTTTACCTCCTGTAGTCTACCGCAAAATATAATCAATTCTCTTACTGACATACTTTAGTATTTTTTTATACACATTTTTCTATCGGTTAAAATACTAAACATACCCAATAAAAAATATATCCGGCAAGGGATTTAATATTCCATGCTTAATATTTAAAAGTTGATGGAGAGCTTGTTCCGGAAACTTGGTAGCCACATTCCACGTAACAAAGTAAATCCTTAACAATAAAAGAAAATAAATCAACGCATAAGAATTAGATATAATAATTTCATTACAACATTGATTTTAATTGCGATATTAATATTTTCAGTAATTGTTACCAGACTATTATTTTAAATGTATATATATATATATATATATATGTGTGTGTATATGTTTATAAATGCATAAAATTAATTAATTAAAAAACCAAACTTACCTTAAATGCTCTAATTGTGCTGCCATTTCGTTTACCGTTAGATAAAGTGTAGAAAAATTCCAAGTATCTCAGTAACACTGATACTGATTTCTAAATGTAAGGTTAGGATAATGCATATCGTAAAAAAATTGCTCTTATGAGTGTGCATTAATTAAAGGCAATCAAGATATACATAATTTGCAAAAAACTTGTAAATATTGCTATATGCAGAGAGGAGTGGTTATTTTATAACACCATATTCTTCACGATTGTTGACATTTCTAAAGAAGCAGCCTGGAGAAACCTTTCCCCGCCTAACTCAAACCACGTGATGTGACAGCAACCTGTCGTTGGTGATGCCTTTGCATGACCCTATTTTAAATTATTTAACTACGATCTATACTCTTGCTTTCTTTTTATTTCATTATTTATTCGCGGTATTAACTTTATCGATTATTTTTCTTATTATATTCTTATATCACAATTATTATATCTATACATGTATATATTTGTACAGTTTTTAGTTTATTTATTTGTATGTAAAAAAAAGTTCCTTAAAAAGCAACGTCATTCTCTCTCTGTTATTTATAAATGGCGAATAGAGTCAATTACGAATTATTCTTTCTATCTATAAAGAAAATTCACAAATTCAATGACCCAATTATAATTATTCTTGCTTTAAATAATTAATTAAAATGATTACTCTTAATAATACAAAATTCGTGGTTACTTTAATGACAAATTATTGTATTAAAAATATTGTATTATATAAAAATGAAAGATGTTTATTCGCACGCATAACATTCTCGACGTACTCTTATCAATGTTAATTCTTTGTTTCTTATAAAAAAAATAAAAAGTTGACACAATAAAAAAACGTGTCAAATATTAAAAAATGCAACGTAAGTATTTACAATTGGAGCGATTAATTCGATCCATGTTTTTAAACTAATGCGAAATAATTCTAAAAGGCGTCGATTTTTTACATTAAATTTAACGCATTAAATGCCACAAAGCGTTTTTTTTTTCATTAAAATGAGACCACGTAGATCATCTGTGATTAACGTTATTATACTGTTTTATATTTAATCTTAAAATGTGGCTTCTGCGGGGAAAAACTCGTAAAATTTACGTGGCAGTCAATGCGTTTAATCAAACATTGTTTGGATTTAAGTTCGTTTGGGTCGATTAAAATCGATAGTTCAAGGAAACGGAAAGGAATGGAGAGGAGGAGGAGAGGAAAGGAGGGAGAGAGGGATCAATACATCATCCCCGGATGTGTTGCTCTCTGGAAAAATACGTTTGGATTTGCTGATAAAGTTGTGTAGAGATTTCCAGCATCCTCCGGCCTCAAATACATGCCGGATGGTAAAACAAACGTCTCCATCGGCCCATGAACCTCTGAAAACGAGCAAGAGAAAACATTTTAAGTAGTACGAGAATTCTCTTATACACACACGTGTAGCATACTTTTACTTTAGAAATCATCAAACGATCAACAACTTCGAAAACATTGTTTAAAATAAAAATAATGTAACTCGCTTGGATCACAAGTCTACGTAAATCAATTTAAATATAAAATAGACTAAATGAAATAACAGCATAAACATCGATCATTCTAATAGACAAAAATTCGATTGGATATAACAATAATAAAAAATTTTAAATGTAATATTTCATTGTAAAAAAAAAAAAAGATTTCAACCAACATAAAAGACCAAAGCGCAATTTATTAATGCGGTTTTATCGGTGTCTGACATCGATAATAGTGTTCTACTTATGCGGCTGACCATAAATGTCATTTCATACTTCTCCAATAACACGCGTGATAGTATAATAAATATTCTACATTTATCATTACGTATTGAGATACTCCGAATCAAAAAGAAGAAAAATAAAAAGAAAAAAGTCACTTGTATTAAAAGAGGGCCCTGAAGTATCGTTATTAAGGAATACGAATAATGTGTGGGTTTTTAATCATAGTTCTGTCTCGTCAAAAGATCCATTATTTTCTTCCCATCTCACCCCCGATTCTTTCGCTTCGCCGAGCGCAAACAAAAAAAAAAGATAAAGAAAAGAAATAAAAAGTAAAATGAACAAAAACAAAACTAGAAAAGAAAGAAAAAAAAATCGTAAATATAAAAAAAAGTTTGAAGAGTAGGTGCGAGAAGTTTGACTCGTTTAAGTGGATGGTCAAGGGGCTAGTGACCTTTAGCTCGTAATTTCTAGTATATTCCACGCCTTGCTCGTAATAATGAACATTACGGTAAAGAGACATATCGCACGTTATGTAGGCATCGCGTTTTGCACTTCACGCTTTCAGCGCAAATACTTAGAACGCTGACGTTATTGACTAATCGACGAATAACGTCAATCTTTTTATTTCTTTTTTTATTCTTTTTCTTTCCAAATGAATTTAAATAAATATAAATATGTATACGTTTATAAACATCAGCATTCTTATATGTTAGTTAACTTTTTTTTTTCATTTTGTTCGAATAAGATCATTATCAAGTGAAATTAAAAGGAAAAAATAAGTGTATCTGTATGTATGTATGTGTGTGTGCATTTGTATGTGAAAACTAACATTCCTTTTTTTAAGAGGGAAAGCTTTTAAGTAACTTGCAAGCGATTCGACGACGACGACGACGAGGATGTCGTTCGTCTGATCTAACGGTACCCTTTTTCCTCTCTTCTTCCTTTAAACGCCGAAGAAGTGCTTGACCCTTGTCTTGGGACTTTCTCTCTCTCTCTCTCTCTCTCTTTATCTTTATCTTTATTTTTCTCTTTTTCTTTCTCCCACATATCTTTCTCTTTCTCTCTAGCTAACACGTATGATTTTTCTTCCCTTTCGTTTGGTACTTACGAGTTGAAGGTCGCGAGAAGTCAAGAGCGTAAACGAGGAACCAATTACGTTGAAGGAAAAATGCATGGCAAGAAGAAGAAGAAGACGAAGAAGAAGAATAAGAAGAAAAAGAAGAGACGACATGTCGCTGCTAGAAGAGAGCGACTTTATTGCACGTACTTTAACGTTGCAAATTTATCATGAGATTTTCCTACAGAAGATAAATACCAAGAATGTCTACGTCTCGGTATTGGATAAATAAATGATTTATCAAAATAATCATAAGGAAGAGAGTTAAGAGAAATTAATAATTTAATTTTAGGTAATTTTAAATCGAAGTTGCAGAGTCGAGAATAATATCGATGACTTACCATCAGAATATATTGGTGGACTTCCCCCATGTCTACAAGCACTGCAACCAGGTATTCCTGATGAGACCAACGCAACGCGATCTGTAATATTATAAAAACGTGTGAAAATAATTATCTTTCTTTTATTTGATTTTTCGAATCGATTGCATCCTTTTTTTAAAATCTTAAATATTAATTATAATAATTTCTTTATTTTCTACTTGGGTTATACGATATAAAATGACCGGACGTAAAGTTTAGAATATCGTAACCGAAAAGAAACTCGTGGTATAATTGTGAAAGAAACGTATTTACCTAACAACGCAACTTACACGTGAGTGCGAAACGACAAATGAAATTTACAAATGAGGTTTCAGGTGAAATCATTGAAATTCGTTCATTCTAACGTACCAGCGCTGTGATAGTGCATCTTCCTTTTCAAGGACGTTTCGGCAGGTTTGAAATGAAAAAAGGAAGGGGAGTAGCCGCTTCCAGGTAGAGAGCTGAGTGCGTCATCGCGATCTCGAATGACGGTTGTGGGTCCTTCTCGACCAAGGGCAGCCAATTGCCGACCCTTCGGCAGAAACATCGTTAAAAATACGAGAAAAGAAGTAGTCAGGAGACCATAGGCCAGCCATGCCTCCTTATCGCTCTCGGAGGACGCTACTGTTGAACCAATCGCGCTTGATATCCAAATGGGCAATGATAAACCAACGGCAAGTCCGATGAAAGCAGCTTCTCTATTATTATCACGAACACCACGTGCACGAACGGCCAAACAGGCGACCGCTACTAACAGTATCCCTGGATATCTAAAGCAAAAAAAAGAAAAAAAATGGAACAAAATGAAACGATCAAATTTATACAAAATATTATGGATTTTTATACCATGTCACATCTTTAATACAAAAGTTACATTTCAAAAGTTTACCCGAGTGAAGCCACTGTCTGTCCGAGAGGAGTTTTGCAACCCAATGCAACCGGACCACTCTGATCAACGTTTTGAACTTGGATAACTGCAGGTGGTTCCCCGTAAAACCATTGGCCAACGATGGCTACTTGTACCAGTACTGCAAATACCAGTACTAATGCCTGCGATAAAATAAAAAAAAATATATTATTCAAATATATATATATATAAATAAATATTATTTCCAATCTGTCAATGTTAGTTACGTACACGTTGCTTTCGCGCGAATAGTCGCGTACCATTGGCATTCTGATTGCTCGGCGCAGACCGAACGTGAAAAATTCCGAGTATTCACGGTCTAAGTCGTCCCACGAGTTTCTATACACTAACCCACTATTGTATATACGTGTGTTGCCTATACACAACTACAAGTAAGCTTTTCATTCATATCGAACACTCGCGTGATAGCTTTACCGCAGATCGAGAAACAAGACCGGATCTCTTTGAAATTTTTAGATATAACAACATTCCTTGAAATCGCGAAAATAATCTTTTTCAATAATAATATTCAAATTGATGTTAAGTTAAAAATATATATATATATATATATATATATAAAGGCAAAAAGCAAAAAAGAAAATGTAATTATGCAAATGGCACTGCATTATTCGAATTTAGTGAAAAATCTTCGCGCGATGCGTGTACTTAATTATAGTTCGTACTAACTTGATAAGGTGCTGGCAAATAGACCCCGCTATTCAAGGAAAGAAGGAAGACACATTTGACGAGGAGGGCCGCAAATACGAGGGCCGCTGGTAAACCGACTAGTCTGAAGGCTGCACAAGATAAAGGATTTTGACTGAGAGAAGCTGCAGCCGAAAGTCCGGCCAAAAGAAAGAGACCAAGTAACAAAGCTTGGCCTAGGAACAAGTGTCGTCTGTTTGGAGCTGCTGCTCTTGCCTGAAATTAAATATTTTCATGAGAAAGAAAAAGAAAAAGAAAGATAAAGTTCCTGTCGATTAAATCCGTCGTAATTATGTTCGTTTTATCATCAATCTTAATATGGTGTTCGAAGCATTATGCGTGATTCCGAGTAAGGTAAAATAACGAATATGAAACGAGTAGGCGCCGTCTTGCTCTAGATTGTATACAGAGGAAGAATACACCATAATCGTAAACAAATTAAATCGGATCGCTTTCTCAATGAACGCGTATATTAATTTCTCTAATTATAATGCAGTTAAGATTTAAACAAATATTTTATGTATAATTATATGTATAAACAAATATAAATATGTAAATACGGTACATGCATACAAATAGATTACTGCTCGTTCCGATCGAACAAGTAGCCGTAAAAGTTTCGAGAGTAATCGATAACTTCCTCAAACGACAAGAACGGTAACGAGATAGTAATGGTATGATAATAATAGAGCGTATACGTCTGAGGAGCAATGTGTGATAGGGAAAGAAACTCGTTTTACTATCACGGCCTTTCCCGACTCGTTTGCTCGTGGCCCAATGGAGCGTGGCAATACGCAACCTAGACGACGAGACATATCGAATATAGAAACGTTCGATAAACTAGGCCTAGGTCTCGGCGAAATTCTCTTTATCGGGTCCGAATTATCGGAGCTTGTCGAAGAATTCTATCGAAAATAATATATATTACGAAAACTGTTTAAGATCAATGAAAAATCTCGGTCAAACGAATCTTATTTCTCAAGAACTCGATGTTCTTTCGTCTATATCCGAAAACAATTGAAAAGTATTTAAATACCAGTAATTTCGTAGATTAGAAAAATAAAAGAAAAAATAATTATTTATAAGTAGGATGAGAGAATATTAAAAAGTATTCATTAGTGTTAAAGTTTAGAGCATTGACCAACCTTGAGGAGTACGAAAACCTCGAAACCAGCCATGAGTAGCATCGCTGCGGCACTTAGGGCTGCAAGGGGAAGAGCCCAAGGTCGTTGTCTGAGAAGGAAACGCGAGCTTGGCGGTCTACTGGATTCGGTTTCGCGTTCCTGGCCCTTCCTAGTAGGCATCCTGAAGACGGAGATGGTTCTGTTAGGTGCCGGTACGCTGATAACGCTGGCCACGCTCGCCAAACCATTTCTATCGGCTGTATCTTCCGACGGTACTAGGAAGAATTCTGTTGATAATTCGTAATCCTTCGAAGACGAAGGACTTCGAATGGCTTCAACAGAACCTAACAAGCTCGCCGTGGCACACGAAAAAAATATTGGACTTAGCCTCATGTCGAGACAACTCTCCTTGTGTCCTCTCGTCACCGCTTCGTGTATCTTCTCCTACGCAATCGCATCCTTACGTATAAGGGATCGTCTTGTTTTCTTTTTTCTCTCTCTGCCTTCGTAAGATTTTCTCTTTCCCGATCTCTGAAAATAGCGAACCAACTGACATTCTGTTGTTTGTAGTTTTTTTTAATTTTTTTTTTTTCATTTATTCAAACGTTTATCTTGTCTGTCACGATGACGATGATGATGATGATAATGATGATAATAAATGATGATTTTCACAAAGAACGTTTTCTTTAACAGACACGTAAATGAAAAGCACATGATTCTTAACGCCGATGAATAAACCAATGAAATTAACGCTCGACATGCTTGTTACCTGAAGACTTAAATCTCCTATAATTTATGAGCCAGGGTACGAATAATATAATAAGGAGTTTCACGCTAATACTTATACGCACGCTATCGCGCCAAGGATGGATGCGTTGCAATAACCCGGTCACGATGATAAAACGACAGGAAGAGATCATGGGTTCTAAAAACGATTCCCTAAGACTTATCAACGGGCCGTAAAAAATACCTACATACGCGGGAAAGGAACGTTGTTGATAATCGTCGAACAAGTCTGAACGTAAGTAGAGTGAAGCGAGATCAAGGAAATAAATAAAGTTTAAAGGAAAAGTTGGAAGAAAGTGCGTGCAGATATCACGAAAGGTTTTTTTTCTTTTTTTTCGAATAAGATTAACTAGAATGTGATATTATTTTGGAAATGATGTATTAACCTCTTTCTCTCTCTCTCTCTCTCTCTCTATCTTTTCTTTCTTCTTCTTCTCTCTCTCAGAAAATTCTCGTCATCTTTGGTAAAGAACCTGAAGAAACGATCACGTGCATCCTCCCATCTTTGTCACTCATGTGTCATCTTCCCGCGCTTTTTTATTAATAAAAATAAAAGAAAGATTCGAAGAAAATAATATTATTACAATTATCGATCGATTTGGAAGAAATTTTAATTGATATTTATAGATCGAATAGAAAAATACCGATCAAATATGGCGAGCATGGAGGAGCTCGAGGTGCACGTTGCGAGAAGCACGTTCCTACTAAACCGCGAAGAACTCTCGAGGGCGAAACTGGAAGCGTACTAGAGTTCCGTCCTGCGGAGGTGAAGCCTATCCGTTACAGAGGAACCAGGGAGATGGTGATGACGATGGGGCATAGTGATGGTGGTGGTGATGGTGATGGTGGAGGTGGTGCTGCTGATGGTGGTGGTGGTAGTAGTAACGCTGGTGTGGTGATGGTTTTGCCACGGACCAGGAACGGATACTATCAATCTGAAAATAAATCACAAAGGTAAAATTAGAAACAGACATTACAACAAACTTCTAATTTTCTTTCTTCTTTTTTTTTTTTTACATTAGGTAACTTCGATAAAAATTTGTCAGACCAATTTGATTGACTCGATGTGTTACTACTTTTTTTTTATGTTTTTTAAGTATAATTATCTATCTTTCGAAGAACTTAAATTTATGTAATATTCGTATGCCGTTAAGATTAGAAAAAATCGTTCATCATTTGTAGAATTTCTATAAAAAGGTGATAAACACGTGGTATATACTTTCACTGAAAGTACACGTTTGTCTCGTATCAGTTGCGTCCCTGTAAAGAAAAGAGAGAATGCAGTATGGGGAATAAAGGAACGTAGGAGAAAGAGAGTTGCAGTTGGATAAAGAGAGCGAGAGGAGTTGGTCCTCCGATGTCGAGGACCGGACTCTCAACGATGCATTTACATATCGGACATGTAATAACCTCGAAAAAGTATTAACAATGAATGCCCGAGGTTCGTCTCGGTTTGAACTAAGAAACGAACGAACGTACGTACGTACGAATGAAGAAAAAGATAGAAGAAGGAGTAGGAGGAAAAGAAAATGACGGAGGACGATCGAACGTTGCGTTTAACGAACTCTGTAACTTCGAACGACAGTATCGACGAACAGTCAAAATTCCATCGCAAAAAGTTGACAGGGGGAAGGGACGTCTTATTAGAAACGCCCTTTCTCATAATTGTGTCTCATATGTGAGAGATACAAAAAAGAACAGATAAAATACAAAATGAGATATCAGAATATTTTCAAAAGTAATTTCAACTTTGAAATTTTTACTCGTCCTCAACTTTTTTTTCTAGTAGAACATGAAAAGGTATTCGTTCTTCACGAATCATTTCTCGTTACTGTTACTAGGCTTCTTTTTTTTATTAGCAAATAAAACACTCTACATACGATATACTTGATAAGAAAAATTAAAAAAAAGATAAAACGTAGAACCAAGAACAGCGTGTGTGTCTTTGGAGGGTTCTCTTTGAGGTCAAATCACGAGATACACGTACGCATAGCGGTACGTTTCCTTTCGTTCTCGTAAGTAACTTCTGTGTATGTATGCTACAGTTGATATATGTGTGGCGCATTCACGTCATAGATCGACGATCTTACTCGTAAATAAGTACTACGTAAGGAGACACATTCGGTAGCTCTGCCGATCGAACCCTGCACTCGGAGTTCGACGAACCCTTTGTCTCGAAAACCGGACAAACCGTTTGCACATCGGTGCGGGTCTCGACTTCATGATACCATGAGATACAGGCTGTTTCAAAGCTTCAAAATTGCATAGATATATTATTTTCATTTAATTTAATTACAAGATTGGTTTCATCCTGACGATCATAGAGCTGCAGGTTTTTTTTTTACAAATGTTCTTGAAATATGTTTCTTTTTGTTTTAAAATAATATTTAAAATGAAATCTCTATACGATACACATTGTAGATTCATAAATTTGATTGAGAATTACTTATGCAATCTGACTGTGAGATAACATCGATGACGATGAAAATGTTTCAAGGAATTATCCAACATTCAAAAACGATCCCTTCGAGAACGAATTATACAATAAGTTTGAAGAGCAATGCGAAGCCACACCCGGTCACTTTCTCCACCAAAGCCAAAGTCATTCTTGTACCGTATAGTACCGTGCTTAATGACGCAAGCTACCCACGCGATCTAATGTAAGGTACGGTAAATCGTTTCCCTTTCACGTTCTAAGTAAAAAGGATAGAATTTAGTTGCAAGCTTTTCAACCTTTCAGATAACATAAATTTAATTCTAGAAATTCTGGATTTCAATGAACACCCACCCACCCACTTTCATTCATTCTCGTGTCTAATTGAGAAGATATTGAAACAAACTAACTGTAATTTATGATTTAAGAAAATAAAAACTAATTTGTTTGTACAAAAAAATAGTTTACAAAATGATTAAATATTTAAGAATAACAAATCAAAATATTTGAGATAGCATAAGAAATTGTTGGATAATTCGAGTTTGTTTTCCTTTAGAATACTTCGACGCAAAGTTATTCCATCTTTTTCTCTCACACGTGAAATTCCTCAGAGCGGGTACGCAAAGCCGAAAAGTTCGCGGTTGTACACCAAATCTCCGAGCTGCGCCATGTTATTGGGGACCAGTGAGCTCGATGCACGAGAAAGAAAGAGAGAAAAGCATTCGCTTGTAACCGGTTTCGACGAACTAAAGCTAAATAAAGTCATGTATGTACCAGGATGAACGGAGAATATCGTCGTACCAATAATTCTCATCTCGAAGAACAATGATAGATTTAGAAATCAAACTTAAATTCAACTAACTATTCTACGAGCTTTTTCAAAGAGAATTACTTTGTCGATACATGGAGAAAACAACTACCATTACTTTACTTTACTTTTTTATTTTACTAATGTAAAATTAAATACGTCAAAATAACAAAAAAAAATGAAATTTTCAAACAAATTGTAACCAAAAATCTATACGCCTAAATTTTAGATAAAAAGAAAAAACAAATGGAGTTTATTGACTAGTATTATTTCATTATTACTGAGAAAACTTAGTTACTAAGATTTTGTTTCAAAAAAATATTTTTATTACTATATTCGTATTGAATTGAAATACGACAAAATAATGGAAATATAAAACATGTAGGAATGAATGAATGAATGAAGTTTTTAAGACGCGTTAAGATAAAAATCTGTAAGCCTAAATTCGAGATAAATAAAAAAAAGGATCCAACCAACCAAAAAAAAAAAAAGGAACCACGTATATATTATGTTTATTCTCGAAACTTAACTCCTTTTGTCTTTTTGCTTCATCGAGCGCGATACGTTGATAAGTCGACCCTTCTACGACGATTCATTTGAATATAAATCCGGTTGTCTGCACTCGGCGTAAGGTACATGTGCGTAAAGGGCGAAGGGAGAAAGAAGAGTTGAAAGAAGATAGGAACTAACCCTGTAGAGAAAAAGAGAGAGAGAAAGACAGAAAAATAGAAGAAGACTAACGTATACACGTATGAAAGAGAAAAAGATAAAAATAGATATATTTCTTTTTTTCTTTTCTTGTTTATTGTAACCACAAACTGCGGTGGTCGCTCATGCAGGATGATATTTTTTCTTATCCTTATTTCAAGGGTTCGTCCTCTCGCAAAAATCCTTGATTTCTTTTTCTACTTTTGTTCTCTCGAGAAGATTTAACCGAAATTCAAAACCTAAACAAATACTTGTACGATGACAGGATGTATTTTTCTGTTTAAAAAAATCGTATAAAAACATTGTTGATACAAAAAAAAAGTAACGTGAGTTATTATAGTGATTATTTAAAAAAAAAAAAAACGAACAGAGAAAAGAAAACCTTACAAAAGTATAAGAACTCTTCCATGAAACGTTATCTTCGTTGGCAAGTTTAGTCCTTTTGGTTAAAAATTAAAGGGCGAAGGTTTAACCACGAAAGATCGAGGAGAAGGGTCGTCTTCCCTCCTATCTTCTAGCAGCGAAGGCGTAGACACGAGGTACTCTGAAACGTTTATGTTCGTACACGACGTTATATAGAAGGAAAAAGAGAGAGAAAATATACATGAAGGCCCCTCCATGTTTCCACGTACGATTCGCATAAGCGTATAAACCACTTCGCGCACGTCCACGTGTACTCACGATGGAGTAACGATATTTATTATATGTCGGGTATGAGTTATGGGCAGTTAACTTCGCGTTCGTGACGGGCCCTCCTTCCCACCCCCCACCCCCCTATCGTGTGTAGTATGCACCCAAGGACCCATGCACATCTTCCATGCACTTACGAATAGTGAAAAGAATACCTTTTCTTATACTTATGGTTCCCTATTTCTTCTAACTCATTTTCTAATAAAATACAGAAGCTTATTTCAAGAAAATGTTGTTCTTTTTCTTTTTTTTTGTTCCCTCCGAAAGGATTTATTTTATTACCGATTATATCATTCAAATACAATTGAATGAATTTCTACAGAAGAAAGGTATATGTTGTATTTTAGAAAATTTGTAAGAAATGGTATACAAATGGTTCATTACTCATTATAGTGATTAAACAAGTTACTGATGTAATATACACTTTTACTTATACTTGTCAACAAATGACGAATAATTTTTATATTTAATTTCTTCTGTTGTAATGAATAAATAATTATATTAGCATTTTTTTTTGTTTACCTGTAAATTATAGTGATATGTAACACGTAAAACTTCTTCTTTTAAATGCTAGTTAAATATTTCCTAAAAAAAGAAAAAGAATAAAATTAATTCAAAGTAAGAAATGAATTGATACGTAATACTACGTTAGAAATAATAATTTTACAGTCTAACGGAAGTTCAAACTAAAAACAAAAGGACAAACATATATTCCATAACTAAAATAAGTAAAAAAAAGAAATAAATTCCGAGAGCTTTGTAGTTGATAAATGCAATATGCCAGCTTCCGTGATACGAAAATTTTCTTGGGGCATTTATATCTTCACGTTTCGTGGGAAACGTGAGAACGTTAAATGAACAAAATAGCTAGTTAACAGTACAACCGATGAATTTGCATACTCGAGGAAAAAGATCTTTATCCTGTGTCGCGTGCTTCGAACATCATCTTGTTTTTTTCTTCTTCTTCTTCTTCTTCTTCTTCTTCATCTTCTTGTTCGTTTTCTTCTTCCTCTCCTTCTTCTTAAGATTCTAATTATGTACTTCCTCTGAAAATTTTCCATATCAAACCGGTACATTTATTACATCGACTAGCGAGAAACAAATTCCGAAAGATTAGAGCTCCTAAAACTAATACTTCCTTAATATTATATTCATTTATATGTCACACCTTTATGCTAAATAACCGGTATAATCTAAATAACGACGTATATCAGTATAGTATTCTAAAGAAAACAAGTTAATTCATTCGTGATAAACAGAAACGAGTTCTCGACCAATGCTAATTAAAAATACAATATCTTTGAGAATTCAGTAGAAATGGAGCGACTGAGTGAACGCGATCGTGCAATTTTAAACGTCATTTTTGATCCATTTCAAGCACATGGAACTATTGATATTTCAGAAAATGAAAATCTTGGTACGTAGTTTATTTTTTTCTTAAATCAAGGATTTTGAATTTTTTATATATATTTTTGGTGTAGACACATTAAACCAAGGTGAGGTGGATACTTTGACAGAAGAAGTTTTGAATATCGTGAAAGAAGCTATTTCGTGCGCAGAGTTAAATAATTTTGACAAATCTTTTCGTTTATTTAACGAAGCTTTGAAGAAAACACCTTCCTCTCCAGCTATTTTAAACGATAGAGCTCAAGCATTTCGATTGGCTGGTCGTGATAATGGTAACGTTAATTAATGTATTATGACAAAACGATATCGTGCATATTTAATATTAATATTATACGAATAATATTAAACGTATGATATATATTCAGAATTTATCTTTTTTATGTAGAAGCATTGGAGGATTTGCACATGGCAGTAAAACTTAGCCAAGGAAAAGGAAAAGCAGGCATTCAGGCGCTTTGCCAACGTGGAATACTATATCGTTACATGAACGAGGATCAAAAAGCTAAAGTAGATTTTACACTGGCAGCCAAAGCTGGCTCGAGCTTTGCCAAATCACAGCTTGTTTCTTTAAATCCTTATGCAGCTATGTGCAACGCTATGTTGCAAGAAATAACTTTGAAATCCATGCATCATTGAAAATTATCATCGCCCTGAATTCTAGTAACGTTTCAAGTTACATTTTTAGAAATGACGTATAATATAAAAAATTAAGAAATATATACATTCAAATAATAAATTAAATTTAAGTGAAATCTAAATTTTCGTTTTTGAAAATAATCGATCGTATTATCCGATATATAATTATTTTATTTTTATCCTTCATTTGAATAAAGAGATTCGCAAATCATGTATATACCTACCATGATCCAGTTAAATATAACCACGTTTTTTAATAATAATAATAATAATAATAATAATAATAATAATAATAATAATTTTCATTGTATGAAATCTTCAATGAAAATATAAATTTAATCGTATTAAACATGCATTATACGCACCTTTAAAAATTCAATGTCAGTCCTACTAGAAAGAAAGAGAAAGAGAGAGAGAGAGAGAGAGAGAGAGAGAGAGAGAGAGAGAGATAGTGAAAAAGGAAGTCGCGAATATTTTCAACAAATGCTTACGAAAATATCAGAATCCCACGTGCAAAAATTTCATTCTCCCAACTATTGTGTATTTACGAAATAGAAAGGTACAACAGTAAAGAAGAAAATTTATTGCATTCTTTCTTTTTTTTAATCCGATATTTTCAATAATCAATTAAGTACTTTTTAAAATAACGTAGTAAAATATTCTCAACGCATCTTCGCTTTTTGTAACTTACAAAAAATAGTATTGAAATAAAAATTTAAATTATCGCGATAAAATATTATTATTATTATTATTATATATCTTTTTATATTCCGATATTACATATTTCATTTTAATCATCAACAATAAATTCTCTTCGTACAAAATGCAGACAAATTTTTTATTATTCGTCCAACTGCAATATCCTAAATGCATAAAATGCAGAGTTTCTGGTACAATTATATCCGTTTGATATATGTTTTCTTATAGATATATAAATAAATATCTATTAAGAAATAGATTGTACGTCAGAAGATATTTTCACTATTTTTTTTCCATGGTACTTTGACATTAATACCTATTTCCCCTTTTACCAAATGAATTATAATAATCTGCTAATTTTGACAATTATGCAGTAAAATAATTTATATATGTAAAAGCATATTTCAATTTTAACGATTAATTATCAAATTAATTTTACTTGTTCAAATGAACATGGAGATAATTAATGTCACAATATATGTTTTATACCATCACAAAATCACGACCTGTATTTGATTTCTCACTTTCCGAACCTTCTTCGCTACCTTCAGAACCTTCTACAGATTCACTAGCAGAAACTTTCTTAGTATCTTCATTAGAAATTTCTTCAATTCTGCTTGTTTCATCCTTTGGTGATTCTTCCATATTAGATCTATCTTCGCTGTTAACAAAAATATAAATCAAAGTATTTCTAATAGTTACAAGTATAATATGGAATACTATTATTATTTTTATTGTTATTCACTTACTTTGATGTACTAGGTGTTTCTTCTGTATCAGAATCTTTATCTTTCTTCTTTTTCTTTTTACAACTTCTTTTATCACTTTCATTTGAAGCGCCATAATATTCATACTAAAAAATAATAAAGTATTATATAATTATTTAGCATATTGAACAAAAAATACAATATCTTTAAGTAGATAAAAATTTACCTGGTACAATGGCCAGAATGATGCAAAAAAGCCAACATCCGCTATTAAATTGGGTAACAACCAAAAATGACACCTTCCCAGAGTGGGCACCCAAAGAAGACAGAATACAATCATTCTAATAATAGTTAATGCAAGGATGAATACAAGCAATCCAGCTGCTCCTACGCTTGAATAATATACTCCTTGACGAATGGTTACGGGCCATAATGGGAATAAACAAAGTCCAATTGCTCCTAATACAACCAAGGTACCAAAAAACCAATAATACACGGGTATCGGTTCATAAATCCAAACGTAAGCATCATTACAATCTACGAAGTATTGTTCCATATGCATTTCAAGTCGTACCTGTAACAATAAAACACAAATTTATAAAAAAGATTATATTATATTTAACCTCTTATACTACGATTTGATACACAGAGGTGCATGCCAAAGTCGATGCTATATTTTATGCTTGTTATGTTTGGCCCGTAAGATTGGCACACTGTTATAGCACAACCAGTTAAATATTATATTTAAAAATAATAACTCACTTTTGGTTTTTTCTTGGTCTCTTTACGTTCATCAGATTTATCTTCGCCATTCTTGTTCGTAACATCTTTATTATCCTTAGAATCTTCTTTTTCCTTTTCCTTTTCTTTTTCTTTCTCTTTATCTTTTTCCTTATCCTTTTCCTTCTCTTTATCCTTGTCTTTTTCATTAGATTTTTTCTCTTCCTTCGGTTCCTTAACTTTTTTCTTAATACCTCGGATTTTACAAAGTTCCTCTTCAGAAATGACTACTTTCTTAGCCCTGTGGAAAAACTTATGCCTCAACATCGTGTCGAGAAACTTGGTAACCTGTTCACGAGTCTCAAATCTGGTCTTGCTCCAGGGTGAGCTTTCCAGCAGTGCATCAACTGCACGCGTACCCGTAAAGTATTCCACATTATGATTTCTATCAAATTTAGTCTTTTTGGAAGGTACATTATTACGAATCCATTTGGCTACAGCATATTCTTCTTTAGATGGCTTATCCTGAGTTATTTCGCTATCTAAACTTGAAATTTCCTATTTTACAAAATGAAACATATTTTTAATAGAAATTGGTATGCTTAATAATTGTTTAAACATTTGACATGAAAAATTAAATATTTGTCAAAATAAATTATTGTAATCTTTTTTTTTTTTAAATAAATTTAAATTATATATACACGTCGAAATACACGTATTTCAAATAAAATAGTTAAAAAAAAATCATATGTCAAATTGACACGAAATAAATTGAAAAATATATTTATCTACGTCATCCGTTTTACTCTGTTGAAAATTAAGAGGAAGACATCAATGGTGACACGTGTACGAAAGAGAACGTTTCGAAGAGAGGAGAGATGAAATAATATATAAACGATAACGCTGATAATTCTAATCAAATAATGATCTATTACGACATTATAAACATATCATATTAAGAAAATCTCTAGGTGATGCTTACATCTTTGCGTTTTCGGCCTTTCCTGCGTTCCACCATGTTGTAAATCCAACTTTGCACTTGCGCATTTAAATTCCTTCCGTCAGAGACGCTTTAAGAAAAAGAAAGAAAGAAAATTAAAGGAAGTTCCTTTTATATTCTTCAATTCAATATTTCTTTTTTTTTTTTTTTTTAATATCTTAACATGCGATCGAACTATTAATTAAATCGTTATTGACCTTGTAAGACAATAATTGATTATAGTTATAATTATCTCAATTTCCGAACACGAGAAAATGCTAATTAATTTTGTACAACGAATGAAATAAAACTACGATTAGAATGATTAGGGTGAATTTAGTAACTATAACAGATGTTTATCAATTTTGATTAGGTTGACATTTTTAAATTCATTGAACAATGCTTCCCATGCCAAATTCTATACTTGTTCAATGTTACGTCAGATGATTTTCAATTTTCCTATTTATAACCTACAGATCTGTGGTTAGTTTTATACATTGAAACGTAGAAGAGTATATTCTCACCTTCAGATCAGTTATTTTGATAACCTTTTTGTTTTTAATAAATGTTACATTATAGAAAAATATTAATTAATTACCAATTGTACAATAATTTGATTTCCTTAAAAAGGATACAATTTAAATAAGAACTATCCTGATTTAGTGAAAATAAAGAATCCAAGTAAATATAACCACTAAGTGTAATATCTTTCTTACATAAAATATGTAATGTTATTTTTAATTAAAATAATATAAATTATATTTTTGTAATATTAAAGATTATTTACACTGTGTGCGTGTTTGTGTTTGTTAGAATAAAAAATGACTTCTCTTATAACAACACCGCCAAATGCAAAACGGTTTGTTTTTAGATTTTCTGTTTCTTTTAAATGTTGGTATTATATTTGTTTGAAAAAAGAGTTTTGTGAATTACATTGTCTTTCAATTTTTAGATTTTCCATGGTGAGAAGTGCTCGTCAAGGTAGCGTCATAGATTTGGATATCGACATGTTTCTTAAAATTACTAATTATGAGGATACCGTCAAACAGCTTGATATTTATTATGGAATTGGTAAGATAATATTAATATATTTAATATAGTTTCTTTTTTCAACAATTTAACAATTTTTCATATTGTATAGTCAAACGTCAGTTACTTCGATATCAAAGTTGTATAACTGGCTTATTTCCACAAATTACAACTGATAAAGTTGTTGGAAGTATACGTGAAAGTATTTATTGTGCTGCTGCAATATGGAGTTTATATCAAGCCTATCGGTAAACAATAATGAAACATATATTTATAGTTTATTTATTTAATTAACTGCATAATAATTCATTCTATTTTGTCTTATTTAATTACACAGACGTATAGATGATGACCGTGGAAAGTCTTATGAACTTGGTCAGTCAGCAATAAAATGTATGAGAGGTATTTTAGAATGTTGGATGAAACAATCACCAAGAGTAGAATTATTTAAACGCAATCAATCAAATCGTTTTGCTCTCCATTGCAAATTTCATTTAAATACTGGAGATGAAATTTTTCAAGATATGGAATATCATCATTTACAAGTAAATGTTTAATATTAATTTTATAAGATAATATTTATAAAATTCACATTCATTCTTTTTAATATATTGTTTGTTTCTTTTTTTATTAGATTGACGTCGTATCTCTATACTTATTATTTTTAGTCCAAATGATTTCATCAGGATTACAAATAATATATACCCAAGATGAAGTAGCTTTTATACAAAATCTTGTATATTATGTAGAAAGAGCATATAGAACTCCAGATTTTGGAATGTGGGAACGTGGAAGTCGTTACAATGATGGAACTCCTGAAATACATGCTAGTTCAATTGGTATAGCAAAAAGTGCTTTAGAAGCTATTAATGGTTGTAATTTGTTTGGAGAAAAGGGTGCTTCCTGGTCTGTAATATATGTCGACATTGATGCACATAATCGTAATCGTAGTATCTTTGAAACAATGTTACCACGAGAATCAAGTTCAAAGGTAGATCTAGTACTGCAGCAATACAAAATATTTTCACATTATTTCTATTTTTCAATATTACATTTATATTTTTTCTTTATTTTTTAGAGTGTAGATGCAGCTTTGTTGCCAACAATATCTTTCCCTGCTTTTGCTACTCACGAAGAAGTATTATATAATCAAACTAAATCAAATATAATTGGTAGACTCAAGGGTAATTATGGATTTAAAAGATTTGGCCGAGATGGGTATAAAACAGTGCTAGAAGATACACAACGTCGTTATTACAAATCTGGTGAAATAAAGGCAAGTAAAATATACATGATATATCCAATATTACATACATTTTAATACAAACTTATAATATATGAAATAGTAAAGCATATTTGTTCAATAGGAATTTGACAATGTTGAATGCGAATGGCCTCTATTTTATATTTTTATGATAATCGATGGTGTTTTTAAAACATTACCTGAACAAGTAGAAGAATATCAAAATTTATTAAAAGCTAGAATATACAAAGATCTTCATGGAGGTATTTTAAAAAATATCTGAATAAGTTTGAATAAGTGAAATGAATCAACTGATAAGAAATTTTATTTACAAATAGATCCTGTAATACCTATGTACTATTATGTGCCCAAAGAAAATTTGGAAAATGAAAGAAATGATCCTGGTAGCGTTTATCGAATACCTAGCGATGAAGGAAGAGGATATAAAAATTCAACAAATTCAGATGAATCACCGATGTATTTATGGAATCAAGCAATGTTTGTAATTTCTCAGTTGTTAACTGCTGGCTTATTACATATCAATGAATTAGATCCTATTCGTCGTTATTTACCTTCGTATAATAGACCAAGAAGAGCTGGAAGATACTCTGCTTTCCAGGTGAGATAAATAACACGTGTTTGAAGAATAGCAAAAGTAATTCATAAAAAAATACTTCATGTTTTTTTCTATCAAAAGAGAATATATATACATATGTATATATTTATTTATAAAAAAGAAATGTTAATATTATTTTCTTGTATTTTATACAGGCAAAGCCCACTATTGTAAGTAAATTATGTTGTATGCTTGCTATTACATCATGGTAGAAGTAATTCTTTATTTTGCATTGTGTTCTCGTATTATTTTCTATTTGCCATAATTAATTATCTCTTACTCTCTCTCTTACTTAATTATATCTTCTTTTTTTTAATTCTATAAAATATGCATGTGTTTGCATAGAAAAAAAAGTAACAGAAATTCGTATCATAAAACTATAATTTACCACTCTGCTATTTTCTTCTCACTTTTAAAAAGCTATTGTAAATTAAGTTTTATATGTAGATCGTTTGAAAAACAAAACTTTATACTTTCAATTATACTCTTTGCTGCTATTTATATATATATATATCTCTTTTATATAATATATTTATACAAATATATTGCACGTTATATTTGCCAATACGAATGACTATTTCCTTTAGGGCACTCATGCTGATCTTGTAGTACAAATTGTTTTAATTGCCGAATCTATGAGGCTACAAGCTATGATGGCAACTTATGGTATTCAAACACAAACTCCGCACGAAGTTGAACCAGTACAAATATTATCTTCGACTCAATTGATTAAAGTCTATCAAAAACTTGGAGTTAATAAGAAATTAAATCTTCAAGGACGTCCAGCTAGACCCATTGGTTCTTTGGGTACAAGCAAGGTATATATGATATGCATTAAAGTTTAATATTTTTCTATAAATGATGCATATATATACAGGTGTATAGGGTGTGCGGTATGACGGTACTTTGTTATCCACTTATATTTGAAGTATCTGAATTTTATCTATACAGAGATATGGCTTTGTTAATTGATGATATTAAAACAGAACTTCAATTCGTTGGTAAATATTGGCGACTTTCTGGTCGTCCAACTGTATGCCTTCTAATAAGAGAAGAACATATGAGGTATTTATCAATGCTTACAATTTTTACATAATAATAAAAAATAATTAATATATATATATATATCTTTTTTCATTTAGAGATCCACAATTTAAAGAAATGTTAGACTTATTTGCAATGTTAAAGAAAGGATACTGCGACAGAACCAAAGTACGCATTGGACGATTGCAAAATTTAATTTCATCTTCTTGCATTGGTAATTTTTGAAATCTATTTTATATATTACATACAATTAACACGATAGAAATATTTATTTTTTTTTTATTTATAGAACATTTGGATTTCGTTAATTCTATGGAAACTGATCTCGAACTAACTCAATTCAAACAACTGCAACATGATTATATTGGTTATCAAAGTCTCACCGATGTTCCAAGAGCTTTAGCTTATTCTGAAGATATAAAAGATTATTCTGTATGTATATACAATCAAGATACTGATTTGATCATTATTTATAGAATTTATTTAATTTTCAGTATTTTATGCACGAGCCTTTGCATAATATATTAAACGAAATTCGTAATTGTGATGGATTGTATGTAAAGTGTCAACTCTATGGTGTTTTATTAAAACGAGAAGGTATCAACTATGAATTTAATGGAACAACAGGTATATATTTATATTTATACTGGTTTTGAATTCCAAATTCAACTTTTTGCAAATCAAATTCATTCTTCTGTAAGAGTAAATTTGATTTTATAGATTTAATTTAATTAAATTTTATAGTTGGTGATCATTTAAGAGCACTGTATCAGCAAGCAGGTTGTCTTAGATATTGGATGGCTGTTCGTTACTGTAGCAGTTTATTACACCATACTGTTGATAGTATAAGTCCTTTTATTACTGGTGTACTTGTTAAAGGCAAACAGGTAATATCTGTGTGTCAGGATTGCACAGGGTTGCGAGGACGTAATTCCATGTGTTCTGAAATTATTCATTTATTATTATTAATTATTCACAAGTTAATATATTTTTATTATTTATCAGATAACTGTTGGAGTTATTGGTCAGGAAGAAACTGTATTTGATAAACCTATGACCCCTGCAGAAATTCAATCTGTCATGTATTCTACTATTCAACCTCATAATGTAATACAAGCTGTACTTCAACAAGAAGTATTATTGTATTGTGGTAGACTTATTGGAACAAATCCAGAAATGTTTAGAGGAATATTAAAAATTCGTATTGGGTATTATGTTATTCAATTTCTATAGTTTTAATTATTATGTTTATAATGTAATATAAATATATAAAATTGATATATGTTATTAGATGGGTATTAGAAGCAATGAAGCTCTACTTAGAAATGTTTGTGAAAAATCCTGAGCCAATTGAAAACTACAGTCCCTATAAAGTTAGACAAGTTTTGATCAAAGTATTGACTGTTAAGGATTGGGCCGATTCAGAAAAGTATATTAATTGGATTTTATTATAAAATCTATCTGTAAAATTTTTTAATTGTAATATATTCTTGTTTTATAGACTTACTGTACTTGGACGAAGAAGAATAGAAGGAAGTTTATGTAGAGTTCCTACACATTTTTACAATCAAGTATGGCAAGTTTTAATGCGTTGTCCTGAAGGTATATGCGTCAATGGACGTGAATTACCACAGCAACCAACACTTTCTAATATGACACAATCGGAGTTAACTTTTGCTTTGCTCGTTGAATCTTTACTTCATCACATACACTTACCAGAATATCGTCAAATTATAGTTGAGGTAATATTTGAACCATTATAAGATCCAATTCTTTCTTTCCAATATTCTTTGTTAAGAAAGATAAAATATTAATATTAATTAAAATTTTGTTTACAGTTACTTAACATAGTATCAACAATTTTGTTAAGAAATCCCGAGCTTAGTTTCCAAAAGCAATTAAATCTAAATAAACTTGTCGAGGATAGTTTTGCCATGTATTGCAAGGTATGTATAAGTTATTAGTTTTATTAAAAAATTTTATACACATTATTACTCATCATAAAATAAATTTAAAATTATCATATAAGAATATGTAATATATTGGATTGTTATATACTTATATTTAGGATCAAAATTTGGAGGTATCGGATGATCTTACACCATTCTTTTCTATACACTATTCGTTGACTACCGGTTACCTAGCTAGGGCAGTTGTAAACAATGTTCTTGCAATTGGTTGTGTAACTACCATTACGGATGCCAAAGATAATTTCGAATCTCACGAAATGTGCAAAATAGCGTAAATATATATATAACTCTTAATCAACGCTCTAATCAAATATACTTTAATAAATTTACAAGAACAACATTTTTATGATATTAAATTTGAGTTGAGAAATGTAAATAAATATATATTTGTATATTGTATAAAAAATTGTTTAATCGTGTGTATGTATAATCAATCCTAGTAAACATTTATTAAATGATGTCTTATTTTCTATATAAAAAAAAAGTAAAAAAAAATCTTAAAATTATTGTATTATATATATGCGTATTCTTATAATTCTAACTGTACAAGTGTAGTCAATATTTTTTTCAAATTTTAGTCAATAGTTTTCTTCAATATTCCCGAGAAGAGATTCCAATCACAGACCAAAATTGATTTTGAATCTTAATAGAAATTGGTGTCACAAATTCCCTTTACGGGTAATAACGAATATTATACTTACTAACTAATTCATCGTTTAGCAAAATTGGTATCCATTGATTGACCAGAGCGTTGTATGTTGTTTATATTAGATTTAATTCTCGATGCAACCGTACCAATTTCAGCTGCTGCGACCAATTGCTTCCTGTGGTAAAAAAAAAAAATATATATATATATATATATATATATATATATATATATATATATATATATATAATATTAGTGATACGTTAAAACGTATAATTTTTAAAAGAAGAAATAAAATAGATAAATATTTTACCTAATAAAATCTTTGTTATATATTTTTTCGTTAGATAACTCTTTCTTTTCTTGTTCGTGATACTGTTTTACATTACGTTCTCGTTCTTTATTTCGCCATTCTGCATTTTCCATCATTTCCAGCCTACGCTTTTCCTTTTCCTCTTCCGAAAGTTTTTTCTTTGGAACCCATTTCTGTTCAGTTCTCCTATCTTCATTAAACCTTTTTTGAGGTAAATTAAAGGAAGAATGATAGGATTTTCTTTTATTATTTTCCTGCAATAAATAAATATTGTAAGTGTGTATAGATGATTTTTGTTTGTTAGAGATAATTGGACAAAATATTAAACTAGTATTAGAAATAACATACGTCATAGGATTTTTCTTTGTATCTCCTATTGTTTTCGTTGTCTCTGTAATTATTACCATCTCTATGCACTACATTTCTTCTATACGGATGGTTTCTTTCCCTGTTTGATGTTCTATCTGATTTCATAATATGAATATTGTTACTTTTACTAAGTAATTTTTGAGTATCTTCTTCGTCACTTTTGCTTGATTTTTTGTGTTTTTCTTTTTTTTCATTATCTTTCTTCTTATTTTTCTTTCTGTGTGTTGTACCACTATCATTACTACTACTTCTCTTTTTGTGTGTGTGATTTCGTTTCCTTTTTTTACGTTTAACTAATTCATTGGCACTACTACTGCTACTACTACTATCATCATCGCTACTGTTACTTTCTGCGTCACTGTCAGTGTCACTGTCAGAATCACTACTAACTTTTTTAGACTTCTTCTTCTTCTTTTTCTTCTTCTTGTGTTTAATTTTTTTCATAGATTTTATCAAATCTTTCTCACTAATCTTATCTTTCAACTTTTTGTACTTTTCTGCTAACAAATTATCTAATTCAGTTTCGTCGTCGCTGTTATCCGTGCTGTTAGATGATTTTTTCTTTTTGCTCTTTTTCTTCGTCTCCTTTTTCTTTGCCTGTTGCTCCAACTGTAAAAAATGATATTATAGTAATCACAAAAACAACAATTCAATATTTACGAATATTTTTCCTTACCAATTCTTTAAGTTTCTTTAACTTAACCGGATTCTTCAACAACTGACTTCGTGTTTCAGTTTCCTTCTTTTTTATCGCATACAATGGATCTTCTTGCATTTTTCTTGCTAGATCAACTTGCTCGTTTCCAGAGAAAAATCGTAAAGAAGGTGGAATACATTCTAAAATAATAAATTAAAATTGATTAATAAAATAAAAAATAAACTAGCAGGAAATCTTGATTGATGCCAATAAACTCAATGATACTAACCATATTCAACATGATTCTTTGGTGCTCGGTTTAAATCTGCATCTTTCTGGGCTTGCGCTACTTGCTCAAATGATTTGTCAATCGGACGGCCAAGTAAATAATCTTCTCTATTCACCATATCGTTCGGACCCTTATACATCCAATCTAATTTCTTATCGTCTTTCTTTTCTATAACGCCTTGCTCCATAGCATATTTTGTCATGTCTTCTCGGTCTCTTTCCATAGCTATTTCTCTTTTCAATTCTGCTATTCTTTTCTTCTCTTGATTTTTCTCTTGTTCTGCTTTCCATACTTTTTCCATATTCTTCATGGTAGATGGATGCCATGATTTCTTCAAATTCTAGGTTAATTTGCATGAATTAGTGATTATGAATTTTATATAATACATTATACGTAATTAGAACAATTAATAAAATCTAATATTGATTATTTATATTTAAACATACAACGGTTGATCTAATTTTTAAGAAAATAAATAAATTATACATACCAGATCCCCGCCACCCATTTTTCTAATTTATTTGTACAGCAAACAGTTTTTATATGCACATTTAAATTATCAAACTCCTGATTAAAATTTATTATAAATTTCTATATAAAAAAAATAAAACAAACATTTGATTAACCAGAATTAATTATTAGAAACTATTATAATTTATAAATTATTGTGGTAATACAAAGTGTTATGCTCATAGGTTATGAAATGAGTACTAGTGACACCATTTCTCGTTACGGTATTTCGGCGTACTAAAAACTAGTAATCATTTGATAAGAATGGTTTTGATATTACCGACCAAAGATAACTTGCACTTAGGTACCAGTGCATAAGCTTGATTAAAAAAAAATTCGCAAGGTCGTATCCTTGACAATATACAATGAAAATGCGTCATATTATGTAATTTTAATAAATATATTCAAATTTATGTTTGCAAATATACGAATTAATAACTTTATAAATTAAAAAAAAAATTATACCCTTAACTTGTTAAAATATTATTACATTGTTTGAATATTAAAATAAGTTAAAAATCAATTGTGAGAAATAAGACCATAAACTATAGAGATCAGTTATAAGGGAAGAAATATTGTAAATGAGACTTGTATGCTTGTTAATATAATATAACGATGATGACTTTTGTTTCATAGTTTGAGCAGTTTGCCACAGTTACTACCATTTTCTTGAAGTTTTAATGTGCATTCTAGGTTTATATATCTATTGATGACAATTCGAGGATCTTTAAATATGTCAGATAGAATAGTGCGAGATTAAACACGAAAAAGTTTGTTCGTGTAATGAGCAGTACATGTGAAAATTCGTGTCCGTGGAAGGACTACTTAGAAGATACAATTAATAAATTAACTTCTTATTTAACGAATTTTCTTCCATCGAGTTTTGGCCTAACCTTCGATTCGACCAACACTGTTATCTTTGGCAATGAACCTTTTTTAAGGTTTTCCGAATTTTTCCAAGAATTGATATCATTGTTATCTTTTGATGAATTTCAATTGCAATTGCTTAAAATCTTTCTGTTTATACTTACAAGTACAATTGCTTTAATTTGTATTGCCTGGCACATATATGGTTTGAGAATATCTGAACAATTTATGAATCCAAGTGAGTATGATTTCATCATTTCATGTAAATTTTTTTCTTCCTTTATTGAGTTGAAAGAGCAATTTTTTTCACCCTTGTTCAATTAAGGATAAGCAATAGGAAGTATATATTATTTAAAAATATCCTTTTTTTAGGTGGCCTACCCGGATATTACGGAAAATCTTCAGAATAATTATTAACTATTACTACTTCTAAGTTTTATTATTGAAATTATTAAACGATTAATATATATTTTTAATTACATCACAATTCGCATTTATATTTCTAAAGATTCAAGATGGCAGATAAAATAAAGGCATTTTTTCAAAAGAAAAAGACCAATACTAAGTTTATTAACGCTGGAAAAGGATATAAGTATGTTTAAAACAATATAGAAATTATTCTTCTTCAAACCAGTCTATATATATATATATATATATATTTTTTTTTTTTTTAATATATTTATAAATATGTTATAGATTGAACGAAACTAGTAGACCTGAAACATCGGAGAGAATTCAATCAGAGATACCAATAAAAAGAGCAGAACCTACGGATGAAGCAAAAGTTGCTGGACAAGCTGCATTAGCACGATTACAAGCGAAACAAACTGATTCGCGCAGATTTAACACGTATGTTATTTAATGTTTTCAATTTAACATAAGTTCAAATACATTAATCCGTTTAATTTTATTCATAATAGGTCCTATGCGGCGATACAGGCACGTGTTAAAAAAGAACTGGAAATGGAAAGAAAAGCACGACAGGAACAAGAAAAAATAGCTTCCGCTAAATCAGCTGAAAAAGCTAAGGAAAAGGATAAAGAAATTTTAGCTGTTACCGATGTATACTTTCGATGTCCTTATATCTCTGATGAAGTTTTAACCCGAGACGAATGGAAAAAAAAGATCCGAGAATTTCTATACGAACAATTAAAAGAAGAAGAAGCTGGTTTAACTTCCTGCCTAATCATTCATAATTGCAATGCAGGAAAAACTAAAATTCAGCAATGTATAGAGACTTTAGAAAAGTATATAGAAAATATTTTAAAAAATCCGGGAGTAGAAAAGTATCAAAAGATCCGAATGTGTAATAAAATATTTCAGGTAACTGAAATGATTGTTGTAATATGAATTATTTCTATATAAATAATGTATAACACAATGTTTCCTTTTCTTTTTCCAAAGGAAAAAGTGATGCCATTGGAAGGAGCGTTAGAATTCTTGCAAGCTGCTGGTTTTGAAAAAAAGAAATTATTACATAATGAGGTAGAGGAAGACTTTTTAATATGGAATCCTGATGCTTCTACTATCGATGATTTAACTATACTAGTAGAAGCACTGAGATCTGCTGAAGTTATTCCACTTGAAGTAGATAGAAATTTGCAAGTTCTGTTACCTACTCAAGCGAACGAAATGTATGAACTATCTGATAATTTCTTTACTATAACTTTAGAAGAGTTGAGAAGAGAGCAAAAACTTCGGTAAGAAAAAACAAAATTTCATTTCATTAAGTAATACAAAAAATGCAATAGTAAAAATAATGATGATATACAAATATTTGAAATATCATTATTTCTTTTGTTTTTTATCAGAACCGAAGCTGTCGAAAGAAATCAAATGTTAAGGACTAAAGCTATGCGAGAAAAAGATGAAGAACGAGAATTAAAAAGATATAGATTTACATTAATTCGAATAAGATTTCCGGATAACATATTATTACAGGGAACATTTTCGGTGCACGAAAAATGTAGGGAATTAGTGGATTTCGTTAAAGAAAATTTGATCAATGCCGATATTCCATTTTTCTTGATTTTACCACAAGGTCAAAAACTCCAAGAAGAAGATTACGATAAAACGTTATTAGAGTTAAGATTAATACCGACGTGTTTATTAAAATTTTCACACGAAAACTATAAAAGAGATTTGGATGTATCTGCAGGATATTTAAAAGAAACCGTGCTTTGCTTAATACGAAACACATAAAATCGTGGTAAATGTTAGGTGTATCGCTGACGTTTTTGTACAAAATAATTTTTTACAAGAGGTCTTTTGGTATACGTTTTACATTAAATCATGTTCCTTTTTCTTTTTTTGGATAATCCCAAAATAAAATATATTTTTACGGGTATTTCTCATACATCAGCTTTGACGTATGAACGATTTCCACAAGAAATGGGTATATATATTTTGAATCATTGAAAATCTGAGCATTGTTAAGTTTCAGAATTCTAATTATTAAATATCTATGATCTACCTAGATCAAGTTCAAATCATACATAATACTAGAATATATTTTTACAATTATCACCCTTATTTTGTGCCTGAGACTTAACGAAGTATTTAAAATCTTACGCGTTATTATTATATATATACTGATTGAGAATATATATATATACGCATTTTTATTTTCATTTTTTGTTTTTATTTAACAACCTAATCAATAAATAATATAGATATATATATATTTAAATTATATCTTATATTGTACTAATTATGTATACATAATATAAATATAATCCAATAGCATATGTTTTTGTCGGAATTTTATATGACATTTTTCTCAATAGTATCCTACAAAAATATGAATGTGTTAATATATATATATATATATATATATTATATATATTAACTAAATACTTTTTCTTTTATAAATATTTACAAAGAGAATACAGTTTCCATCTAATATATCCTATAATTGTTATATGCTTTAAGTAGCCATCATTGAACAATAAAATATATATATATATATAAATAAATATATTTTGGCACCTATACATTGTATATTATAACTTATTTCAGTCTTGGTGCATCGTTCCTTCGTTTGACTTAATTATTGTATCTTTCAAACTTGCATTATGATGAAATAAACATGATAGTTATATAAATATAGAAAAACATGTATTAAACTATTTGGATAAATTAACAAATATGTTCGTATCAAATAAATATTAGTTGCTGTCATGCAAATACATATATATATATATGATCATAAAATGAATGAAATTTGTATAATTGAGAACATTCAAAAGCTTAAATCATTTAGCATTTTTAGAAGATTCTTTTAAATTTGGATTTTTAGATTCTACGGGTAAGACAAGCGTAGCAATGGCTGCGCATAAAGCAGCAATGGCATATGTCGCCATGGCTCCTGTGATAGACCACTGTAGAAAAACTTGTGCTATATAAGGTGTTATCATAGCACCAATTCGTGCCATAGCGCTACACGCACTCACACCTACACTACGTAAATGCGTTGGATAAACTTCTGGTGTATAAACGTATGCTGCTTGAAATACTCCGGCAATTAATCCTCTTGCTAAAAATATTCCTATAGTCAATACTGCTCTACTCAACGTACAAGCTCTTCCTAAGAAACAGACAACTAACGAGAACATAACTAATTGGCATGACATTGTTTTTCTTCGTCCTATTTTTTCTATTGCAAAGACGGTAGAAAAAATTCCTGGAAATTCTGCCAATGTGGTCCACAAAAGATCTATGTAGTCACTTCGCCTTAGACGACATTCTAATTGACAAGTATTCTCTAATTTCTTTCCATTTGTCCACGAGCCGCATTGTTCTGATGACGTATGGAATAGTTCAGTAGTCATTAATACCACACCGTAGTAACAAAATGCTGTAGCCATCCTATAATTGATTACATTTATAAGCAATATTCTAATGTTTACTATTATATTACGATTAAATAATAAAATTATAATTAAACAATAATATACTAGTTTGTTAATTTTATAATAATATTTATGTTTGTAGCAGAACTGTGCAAGTGTTAAATGCTTTTTATTTATTTATATTTCATGTAATATTTTCAAGAAGTGCTGTATAAGTTCAAATAAACCATCACCACAATAAATGATAATTTATGTATTTACCATACTAGCCAAAGTAAGGTAGAAGTCTTGCACATTTCCTTGCTTAACACATCCGTAAACCTACCGCGATTAGTTTGATAAAATCGATCCATAATCAATCTTCCTAATGGTAATGGTTTCTTATTTTCTCGTGCTATTCTTTCCAACGTAGACAAAGCTTTATCCATTTTACCAGTTGTCATATCAAATATTGCGGATTCTGGAATCCACTATTGAAACATAATTTAATAATTATATGTTACAAAAATACATAAAATAACTTGTGAGTTATTTTTAGCTTACTGGTGTAATAGATGCAAATATAAGAAGTGGGATTGCTGATAAGGTAAGAAGCCATCTCCATCCAAAGTTTGGCATTACTATTAACGCTATTGCAACTTCAAGACACGCACCAAGTGCCCAGAAACACTAATAATAATATATATACATTTAAAGAAGAGAATAATTACAATATAAATACTAAAGTGCCATTAATCCCTTGCACTATAAGCTGTGTGTCATATTCACTACTATATTTCATACATTGTTGTAGTGAAAGGAATAATACTTACATCTAATAAAATAACGCATTTAGCTCTCTGTTTAGCTGGTAAAAATTCAGCGTACAACGTAACCCTGTTAAAAAGAAGATATACTGAGCAATAACTAGATACAATACAAACCTTCTGTGCATTATATGGACTTACCAAATACTTACGATTGTGGTACACAACCAATAGCAAAACCAACTAATCCTCTCAGCAATAATATCCAAAGAAAATTAGGCGCAAAAGAACTTAAAAATGCATAATAAAATAATAATACTGCGCATAATGTTAAAGCCTGCTTTCTGCCATATCTATCGCTTAAATTACTCCAAAATGTAGAACTTAACATCATCCCAAGAAAGACAACCTGAAATAATACATTATTTTTATTTATATTTGTAACACATTCACAAATATTACGGTATTCAAATAATTCACATTATTACCGTTGTCGTTAAAGCTTGCTGATACCGAGAAATACCCCAATCACAATGTAAAGATGGACTGAGAATACTCAGTATAGTTATTTCCATACTATCTACCATCCAACATAATCCGGTAAATAATGAAAGTTTTACTTGAAACTTTCCAAAACCCAATTCATTAATAGCTTGGACTACTGTGAAAGTATCTATTAATAAAAAGATTAAAGTAAATTTTGTATTACGCAGAATGTATAAAAAGTCTTTATAACTTCAGATTGTATACATCTTATTTTTATTATCAATAGTCATCATAGTAAAAATTAAATAATATTTACATGGCAGAGTTGAAACAACGAGAATTGTTTCATAATTGTTTAAAACATACAGATTAAAGTGTAATTAGGTTTTAATTATATTAATCACCTCTCTACTATTAACATCAATGTTATTATTCCCCAAAATTGGATTAGTTAACTTGAGCAGCCATTAGTCAAAGCGATCTTCATAAACCTAATAATATTCTATCATGCATTATTAAATATTTAATTGATACATGCAGTTATATCTTCTTTGAAGTTAAAAATGATGAATAAGCATGATTACCCTATAGAACAAAATATAACATATTTTGAAGTTTTGCCTTAAAATATAATATATGGTAAACATTTTTTAGTAACAATAGTAAAATAATATAAACTCATACCATCAGGTATAACAACTATGGAGGATAGTTCAATAGAACGATCAACGTTATCTTCAAAGGTGCCATTATTGTATTTTCCAGGATTTAGAGTTTCATTAACATTTAATTCAGAGCCACGTGATTCTTTTAATTCACGATACGGTTCGTTTGATTTTGGATTGTTTTGAGTTGTTGTCATTATTAACAATTTTTCATGAATTTATATTACCCGCTCAAAATTATTTCAATTTTTAATAATAACAATAATAATTGTTGCTGCAAAAAACCGATTCTCAAATCTAATACAATAATAAAAGACGACGATATACTGATGGTATTTAAGACAGATTTTATTATAGATAATGCTCATTTGTATGTAGAGCGTAACATTTCTTCGTGAGCTTTAAGGTTATAACATACAACATAAATACCGTACGTCAAACTACGTCAAATGCATATGCATATACGGTAACAAATGTAAATTAGGGTGGGGATCCTTTGACAATTGATTTCATAATTCCCTTTCTATACTTTTGAGAATATTTTTCATGTTTCTGTATGTATACAAACATTATTACATTTTTATAGTAATTCAAAACAAGCATTCTTTTGTACTTTTATTTTGTAATTGAATATTCTGAGATTCTTGTCGATATATTTGAATATTTAATGTTATCGATCGATTATCGAAATTTCCAAGGCCATCTAGCGAACAAGCTATCAAATTAATTTTCCTCTTTTAATCTCCTTGAATGGGAACATTTGTTTTACATACAAATAAATAATATTAACGTTGAATTTGAGAATAAATACTAAATGTTTATTAAATTTAATGTTTGATTAAATTAATTATTAGACAAGTGATAGAAAAAAAATTGGATGATTCTAAAGCAGTATCACTGCACAGATTTGATTTTCTTTTAAAGAATAATTTTCATTGGACGTCGGAAGCCATAGGAACGCCACGTGGTGGCACAAAGATATCGAACCTTCATTTATTATTTAAAGAGTTACGTTTCTGAAGGATATTGTTTAGTAATGGACGTTTGTTAAAAAAATTCGGTGTAACACTAAAGTAGACATTTTTAAATGTACGTTTTTTTTTATTATTATCATTATTATGATTATTATTAAAATGTATTAGACATGTGGAATATTATTAAATACGAGAAGAAAGAGATAGAAAAATTATTTACACGCGACAACATTTCGGTGAGAATTGGTGCTTCAAAATCAAGCTATTGAATTAATTTTTTAAACGAGTAATTTTCAATTAATTTGAATTTCTAAGATTCGCTTACAATAGTTTGTTATCTTTGAGTTAAAGAATTGTCTTCTTTTGAGGAGCAAATAAAAAAAATTCAATTCCAAGTACATGGTGTACCGGTGTCCAAATAATGAGTGTTGACAGCGAGAACAAGTCTAATGAAGCAATCACACCATTCACTCCATCCGCTGATCAAGAGAATACTGGCAATGGTGATATTCCAATAACACCAGATATGGTGCTCCGACTGCCTACCATCACAGATAGTATGACAGTTTTATTTCGTGTTATTAATGTTATTATTAACTTAATGATAATAATGGCATATAGTTTGGAAACAAAAAAAAAACACTATGGAACCAAAGTTACATTGTTTGCCATCACCTAAGATAATAGACGCACATTATTTTCTTTTCTCATGGATCTATATATGTACAGTTTTCACTATGCATAGTTAACATACTATGTGTTTCTACATTTTCTGTATCATGCCCATCCCAGAATCCCATTTCAATTTTGTCTTCACGCTTCTTTGGTACTGCAAAGTATACAAGATGATACAAATGATACGTCTTGGCTCAAGACGTAAATGCGGTACCTATGTTCTTTTCAGAGTATTTATGCTCTCCGGAAGCTAATATTTATGACATAGACTTTACCAGATTCCAAATTAGAGATTTGGAAACAGGAGCTGTCTTGTTTGAGATAACTAAACCACCGGCTGCTGGTTTGTACTTGTTTTTTTTACATATTATTTTAATATTTTTTTGTAACACCAAATGTATGTTAATTTATTGTTCCATTAGAATGCGATTCTCATCAAGATGCAGAGGCAGATTCCGAAGAATCTACTTGCGAGGATGCTAATACTGGAAGATTTGTGCGTTACCAATTCACGCCGCAATTTCTTAAATTAAAGACAGTCGGTGCCACGGTTGAATTTTTAGTAGGGCCCAAACCAGTCAACAACTTCAGGATGATCGAACGTCACTTTTTTCGGGACAGATTGTTAAAAACATTTGATTTTCAATTTGGATTTTGCATTCCAAATAGCAAAAATACGTGCGAACATATTTATGAATTTCCGACTCTACCAGCTGATCTTGGTGCGTATCACTTTTGAATATTTATTTTTTATACTGATTTTTTCATATATAATTTGTTATAATAATTCATATATTAAAGTTTCCGAAATGATTGCAAATCCATTTGAAACTCGCTCGGATTCGTTTTATTTTGTGGATAATCAACTGGTCATGCACAATAAAGCAGATTATGCGTATAATGGAGGACACCAAAACGATGTGATTTAAAATGTTATTTGTTGGATAGAATAATTACTTGAAAGTTATATAGATTGAAAATACCATAATATTTGCACGTTATGAAAATGAATTGCGTTGATAATTCGATTATATACCAATCTAACTTTTCAAGGTAGAGTTACATATACGGCACTATTTTTTGATTTAATCTTTTGCCATATTATTGCTGTCAATCATACGCAAAATATAAGAAATCTTTTTTGAACATACTTTTATTAATAATATTTATGTCATCGATTAAACAGTTCAAACTAGCAGCACAACATATTTGAACAATTTAATGTGAGCCATTTTGTTTTTCTACTTCTCTTATAATTTTTGCTTGAAACGAAATAAACGGCCTCAAACCACTTTGTGCATCTTACAATATTTTTTTCTCTAAATAAGAGAAAATAATGCCTATATTAATATTATATACATATAAAAAAAAATATGAGATATTTATCATGTAGAGAAATTTTTACCTGACATAAAATTAGCAATTTGTTTATACTGTGTTACACATTTGCTACTTTCCACCCGTAATCTCTGTAAAAATTTTCACATAAATATATGTACATATTTACAAAAGAATAATTACAATGTTACTCTTACATATTTTACAAACATCACGACGAGTGACTTTGATTAATAAAATTGGTGGCAATGTTGATAAACTCTGTTGGATTATCTGCATGTACCCAATGATTAGCACCATTAATATAAATAAATTGGGCACTTGGAAATAATTTTTTTATAGCTGGATGATCTTCAACTTTTATATAATCGCTATTAGAACCACCTATGAACAATGTTGGACCCATATAAACCTTCCCCTCTACATTAGGGAATACAGCAATTTCACTAGAGAAGTTTTGCTCCAATACCGGTAAATTCACGCGCCATTTATATTTCCCAGGTTCTGCCTCTACAAGGTTCATCGTTAAAAACTAGAACAAAATTTTGTAAATAATATTTATTTACTTTTTATAAATCATTACGATAGAAAAAATATATTCTATAAAAACAATTTGATTTAAATACCTGTCGTAACGTCAATGGTTTAACGCTCTCCATGAGCTGTTCCTCTGCCATTTTACGTGCTTTAGTCAAGGATGGACTTCCTTCTAATGTAACAGAACGCATGGCCTTAAAAATGCTTATCATTTGTATTAGACTAGGACTAGCTCTTGCAGGAGACATATCGACTACTAGTAGCTTTTCGACTAATTCTGGATAGTTTAACGCCAAGTACATCATAGTCGATCCCCCCATACTGTGTCCAATTAGAATAGCTTTTTCAAATTCTAAATCATTTAATAACTGTACAATATCTTGCGCCATATGTTTGTAAGACATTTCTGACGAGTGAGGTGAATCTCCATGATTTCTTGCGTCAACTGCAATCACCTAAAAGTAATCATACTTCTTACATTTTTTAAAGGGAATCAAAAAAATATTAAAGATAACAAATGACACAAAATGGTTATTATTGAAAACAAGGAGATTACATAAAATGTTTTTACTACCTTACGTTGAGTTTTTTGATGAATCACTTTGGATAAAGAGTTCCAATTATTCTTAGATCCAAATAAACCATGCATTATTACGATAGGATGAATAGTAACATTATTATTTTCTTTCATTGATTCATAGGAAGCATAAGCAAGTTTAACTGGTTCGACACTTAAAGAAAATACACATAGAGAAGTTAGTAAATCTTATAATTAATATCTTATATTTTTTAGTACGTACATAGTAGAATTATTTAAGGTTTTATAAGTTGATAAAAATCGTAGAACGGAGGAAACCAACGTGACATTTAATCTTCCAAGATGAATTAATTTACTACTTTGAGTTGTCATTTGAATCATTGTCAAATACAGATATTATGAATGAAATGTAACGTTAAAGTCTAATCAACAGTGTGTCAATAAATTTATTTTAAATAATAACATATTAAAACTTCATAGTACCCATTATTGTCTGAAAAAATTTATATGTTTTCATAATTTTAATCTGCAATACTAAAAAAAATTTAAGGCATACTCCACATTATCTGTGTACAGCAATGATAAGTAATTATGCAAACCTTAAGAGAGTTTTTATGAAAATACGTGAGCATTAAGTGATTTACACATAGTTTTTAAATATTGAATAATTATCTTATAATAACGCAATCAGATTTGGTGTTATATTTAAATCTCTGGGAAATAAATTAATATGTTTTTTCTACACTTTTACATAAATATAAATGATTATATTATTTTAGATTTAATTTTAAGAAAAATAAATTTGTATTACGTAGTAAATAAGTAAATCTATATAGAGCCAATCAGATCTGAGATTAAATTTAAAACTCTTGGAAATGAATGATAGTTATAAAATAAATAAATTAAAATTTTTAAAAATCTTTTATGTAAAAAAATATATGTTTATATTAAACTTTTTTTCATACACATACAAGAAACAAAAATTTTATATTACGCAGTTGGGAAGTAAATCTATATAGATTTATAGATTAATGGTAAAGTGCATACGTGGCGCTAGAGTAGCGAACATGTCTCTCTGAAGTGGCAGAAAAAAGAAAGAACATATGTCTTTTACGTGGTCTTACTATAGAATTTGATAAAATGAGTTGGATTATTTCGTGTTTACTCTTAATTATATCAAGTGTCTGTGTTAGGGCATATTTAATAACGGTGGATGCTCACGCAGAAGAATGTTTTTTCAATAAAGTCGAAGCTGACACCAAAATGGGTTGGTTTATCATGAACATTTGTAACATTCCTTCTAGTATTATGTCAATTTATATATAAACAAATAATTCAATTATAATTATTATTATATTTACTTATTAACATATCATAAGTAAGCTATAATTCAATTTTTGGATACATATACATTAACATTTGGTTCAATAAAGGTTATAAATTGCAACTCATTCATATAGTTATCTTTGTCAATGTCTAATGTTTTAAATAGTATTTTAAAAATAATCTTTACTACAGTAAGCTATAATTTTGTATATATATATATATATATATATATTAACATTTTGTTCATTGAATGTTGTAAAACTTTGCAATTTATTTATACAAGTATTTCTGTCGACGTGTAATATTTACATTAGTATTTTAAAAATGATCTTAACTCAATTAATTTATATTTTTTTTTCTTTTAGGTCTAACATTTGAAATAGCAGAAGGTGGATTTTTAGATATAGATGTAAAGATAATCGGTCCCGACGGTAAAATTATTTATCAGGGAGAACGAACAAGGAGCGACAAATTCACATTTGGGGCGCATACTGCAGGAATTTATACATATTGTTTTAGTAATGAAAAGAGTACAATGACTCCGAAGGTTGTGATGTTTAATATGGAGGTAATTGAAAATCCTAAGCCAGAAGAAGTTGCTGGCGGTGGAGCTGCAGAGGGTGATCATGGAAAGTTAGATGATATGATTAAAGAATTAAGTACCAGTCTGTGGGGTGTTAAAAACGAACAAGAATACATGAAGGTAATTTGTTATGCATTTAAACAAATAATTGCATGTTAAAAGACGATTAAAATGATGTATACAAAAATTTCTGATAAATATTAAATTCATTATTTTTAGGTGCGTGACAAAACTCACAGAGCAATCAATGAAAGCACAAATTTCCGTGTCGTTGTATGGTCTTTCTTTGAAGCCACGGTATTATTGCTCATGACCTTAGGACAAATTTACTATTTGAAAAGATTCTTCGAAGTTCGAAGAGTCGTTTAATTTAGGTCATTCCGCAATAAAATCATCTGTTCATTGTACATTTTTCTATGTAACTAAGTTATATAAGATTATAAAATATCATCCTTTGGAAAATTGTTTGTATTTTGTATCGTATTTTATTATACAATAGATACCCTACACGTAAGATACTTTTGTTTTGTTATAAAGTAATATTCGTCTATTTTATTATATTTTCGTTTTTGGAAAAAATCTTGTTTTTATTTGTTTAAATATGTTTTATATTATTGTAATATGTTTTAGAAAGAAAAAATAATGCATATGTAGAATGACCGGGGGAATAGCTATGGTAGGCAAAAAGAATTTTTGTTCTTAAATTCAACGTCGAACATTTTTCTCGGTGCAATAGCCTTAGGATATTCCTGGGTAACTACTACTCATTTCACTCGCGAAGCAGGCGTGAGAATAAATGAATCAAATGAGGAGGGTTGTACAAGTACCCTTCTAGTGTCCTCCCTACGGTACTTAAACCAGAAAAACTCATTGTGCCCTCCTCCTCATTAGATGCCACCTAGCAGTCCCGGCCAAGATAACAATACCGTTCGTGTTTTTCTTCAACGATCTGTAGTTGAGAGAAAAAGAAAACAAATAGTGTCTACTTATGCATAGGGATTGTTTGTCATTCTTTTCTATGGCGATACTAAATATATACATTCATACAGTGCTGAACAAAAGCATTGACACAGACTACATTTTTTTGTAATATTTTTTTTGTTAATTTATATAAAAAGTACGATTATTTAGTTAATACTTTTTTTGTTAAATATATCTCAAATGTTTAAAGTTTAAATATATTTTAAGTTACGGAGAAATTAAATTGGTGTACAATATATATAAAAAAAATAAAATATATAAAAAAGACCTGCTTTTAATTACAAAATTATTTATAATTATTTCTTTTATAGTTCGATTTCTTTTTCGTGATTTCAAAACAATTTGTATAGCTTGAAATCACAGATATTAAATCTCTAAAAATAAATTTAAAATGAATTAATTTTCAAAGATACAAAATTTATTTCCATATTTCAAGTTTGAATTAATTATCGTCATAAATAATCTCTTACTGATTACAAAATAAAGATTATGAAATATTATGTATGCTCATAAAGGAAAAGAAAATTAGATTAAAAAATAATATAAATTTATCAATATGTGACTTCAAAATTACAGAAGAGGCTTATAGAGATTTAAATAATAATTTTTCTTTATCGTACATCTATTTAATTTTTACCACTTTCGAAATAATTAAATTTTAGACTATAGAGATATATTTGACAAAAAAAAAAGAAATTTAATAAAGTATTTAATTACAAATTAAAAAATGAATTCGTGCCAATATAAGTCATTACTCTTCGAGACTGTATATATTGTATACACAGTAAGAAAATATTTGCAAAAAAAAAAAATTCAATCTCGTTCGAATTATAAAAAAACAAATGGAAGATGAAGTTTCAACAGATGAATAATATTGAATTATTGATCTTTCATTTGATATTTATTATTGTTTTAATTCAATAATTTCAATGTCGTTTACAATCGATCCAAGGGATCGAAGTTTCTATCTTGTAAGTTGATATCGATATCAACTTCATTCCTTTCATAGTCTAGATGGTACGTATTCGTTTCGATTCTAAGAACTACGTACTGTACATACTACTATTACTACTATACTACTACACTACTACTATTATTATTACTACGTATGTATACATTGTGGAAGAGTAAAACGTAATACATGGCATGGCTGGGGATTGGAGCGATCGTTTCCTTTCGTCTCACGATGCGAATGAAGGCACTCCTTGATGTCACTCCGGTCATCCTAAGAAATAAATTGTTTACGCTTCCTCGATACGATCGAAATGATTTCGCCGTCGTCTTAGTCGTCGTCGTCGTCGTTGTTGACGCCTTACCAGGCGTTGAAGTTACATGTGGCAACGCGAACGTAAACGATTTCTCAACTTATTCGACGTCAAACATCAAAATATCTTAGCGAATATGATGACAGGGATGAACAATCTTTTAAATATTAACATATTCGCGATAGGCGTCATTCGGATGAAACGTTTAACTGGATACTTCATACAAAATAATTTGAAATAAAAAACATATTATTTAGATAATAAAAATAAATATTTTACTATCCAATGAAATTGAACAAACAAATGAATTAGTATAATTTAATATCTTATGACATAGGACTTACGTCATCGATATTCAGTTAAATAATTTGAAACGATGTAGTATTACGTTTTCGGTCCCAAATGTGTTGATAATAAATTTAGTTAAATATAAAATCGTTAATATTTTGCAATATGTTTCTAGCTAATAATAATTATACGTTCTTTTTGGTTTAAGGCCTGTGCCCAATAGTTCTAAAAAAAGAAAAAAAAAACATACTATTTGTATCTTGTATTTTGAAAAGGATCATTAATAAGATCTTCTAAGTTAATCGTTTCTTTTTTTCCTTGTTTTTTTTTTAGGATGATCTTCCGAAATCTCTGACAATCCTTGAATGTTTCGGTCGTGACGATTCGAATCTCGAAATACCGTGGTAGTATCTTCTCGTGGTAATGGCCGAGACAGAAAATAATCGATCGACGGCAATTTTTATTCTCGATCGCGAGGGAGAAGAAAGAAAGAGAAAACAAAAAAGAAGAAAAAGATCGAGCGGATAATGCGGAGAAGGTCGATAGCGAGCGTGGAAAGAGGGACATTTTAAATGAAGTAAAGCAATCGTTTTCTCTTTCTCTCTTTCATTTTAATTAGAGAGATAAGAAAAACCTGAGAAAATAATCATTTAGAAATGGTAGGTCTACTTTACAGTTCTCACGTGCATTCTCTCTCGTTCGACTATTAATCGGATAGAAAGATAAAGAAGAAAAGAAAACAAAAAACGAAAATGTACAAGGGAAACAAATTGGGATGCATCAACGAAATTTAATTATTTATAACAATATGTTAAAATAGTCAACATTTAATTATTTACTAGGAAACATTAACAGTTACTTTAAGTAGTTTTATATTTATAGTAAGCCAACGTACCACTTCCATTGCAAATTTGAAATAATTAATATTTGCTTGTAACACAAAGCTTCAAAATTCTTATATATAGAAGTTTATTTTAGGATTTATTAAAATTAAATTATATAAAATAAAATTTTAATTATATATATATTATATTATTTTATATAATTGAATTATATATTATAATAAATATATTATATAAAAATAAAATTTATTATTAAAATTTGTAAAAGAATATTTTATTATTAATGAAAAATATAATTTTACCTATATGATGCGAAATTAGTTTCATCAGAGTATTTGAATTCACATAAAATATAATAAAAATATTATACAATAATTATTTTTCTAAGTTAGTTGATTTTCTCTTGGCATCTTATAATGTTTTGTAAACAATTGAGCATATCTTGAGACCAATTTTCTTATCAGTTATGTACAATTTTACTTTACTTATAATAAAAAATTTACAAGAGAGTTTAAATAATTCTAAAATATGTTCTTTTTTTTGTATAAGAATTTGACAACATTACATTAGAAACAGATTTAAAATCTACAGTAGTGGTACGAATACTCCCATGACTCATTGTATATTCTTTTTGTTCCAAGTTATTAGACAAATTTATCTTTCAAACTGACAGAGTTACCCAGTAATTTGTTATACCCAAAATTAACCAGATTGGAATAAAAGGGAACCTTAAAGTTAACAATCGGGGAGGCCACTCTTTCTTATGAGCGACAGGAGCCAATTCCAAAAGAAAGAAAGAAAGAAAGAAAGAAAGAATGAAATAAAGGAAGGAAGGATACCCGATGAGTTCGAAATGTTTTTCCAGCGTAACGACCGAAAAAAAAGTCCCTTTTCGAGGGAATCTCTCTTTCGTTCTTCGCAAAACTGGTTAAACTCGAAGAGAGAAAAAGTGAGTGAGAGAGAACGAAAAAAAGAAAGAAAGAAAGAGATAGAAAATGAGAGAGAGAGAGAGAGAGAGAGAGAAAGAGAGAGGAAGGAAAGAAAGGCCGACCCCCCAAAGAAAAGGACAAACCGCATTATTACGAAGAATAGCGTCGTTCCTCGTGCGTACGAGCGTGTTCTTATACATACATAGATGAATACATACATACAAATATCCATAAATATATACGCACTTACGTATTCGTTCTTTCTGGTCTTGGCATAGCTATTCCGGCGTCCTTGAACAATGATCCGAATGCGGAGCAACGTACCGTTTCCATCTCGAAACGCACGATCCTAATCGTTAATTGGGGGGTAGCAGCTCGATCATGCTAGCCACCCTCCCCGGATATTCTTTCGAAGGGGTTGCTGCCAGGGTGGGTAGGTAGGAAGGTAGGTAGCTAGAGCTATGTATATCCTGGTCCATACAGAAAAAGAACGAAAGAAAAAAAGAAAGAGTGARAGAGAGAGAAAGAAAGAAAAGTGAAGGAACGAAAGAAAGGAGCTGCTAATTGACACGAGCGATTGCACGTAACGGTATAATTAGAGAGAAGAATACGGAGCCCGGGCCGGTGCACCGATGAACCAATGAACCGGCCAGGGAACGAGAGAAAAAGAACAAGAAGAAGAGGAGGAGGAGGAGGAGGAGAACGAGGAGAACGGAAAAGGGGGCGGTTGAACGAAGAAAAAGAGAGAAGAATGAGAGAAAGAGAGAGAGAGAGAGTGGGGGAGGAGGGGAGGAGAGAGCGAGGACGAGAAGAAAGGACAGAAAGGCAGAAAAGCAAAAGGGGAAGAGAAGCAACGGCGACGGTGGCAGCCGCTGGGTTTCGTGCGACCGATCGAGGGGGCTCCCTCTTTGCCAAGAGTAAGAGAGTACAAGAGAGATCGAACTAGTTAGAAAGAGATAGAGAGATAGAGAGAGAGAGAAAGAGAGAGAGAGAGAGAGAGAGAGAGAAAGGAACACATTGAGAACAAGGATAGAAGAATCGTTCGAGTGTCGAGAGAGCGAAAACTAGCGAGAGTAAAAGAGAGAACTGAGAACAACTAAGAGAAACTGAAAGAGAAAGAAAACAGGGAAAAGGGTAGATGAGAAAGAGAGAAAAGTTGTGGATTTTGGTTGATCCGCGAACATTCCGTAGCATCTCAGCACGGCAGTAGGTTTCACACCGTGATTCGTACCCTAAGGGCTGGCAGCAGCAGTAACAGCAGCAGCAACAGCAACAGCGGCAGCAGCAGCAACACGAGGCGGTCCTTCCACGAGGAGAATCGTTCTCCATGGTCTTCTCTCTCTCTCTCTCTCTCTATCTCTCTCCCTTTCTCTCCCATTCGCTGTTTCACGCGCGTCTCCCTCCTTGCGTCGGTGCCGCCGAAGGAGGCAAAGCACCACACACCGGTGCCGCGAGGATCCCTCGACGTAGTCGCGCTCGACGCCTCGAATGGCGAGCGTCTCTCTCTCTTTCATTCTCTGTTCTACTTTTTTTGTCAATTTTTCCGTTTGCTAGGAAAATACCTTATTTTTTGAGAGGGTGAAAGATCAATTATACAAATTTTTTACATTGAGTATTACATATACGCGATCGAAGATTTTTACGGAAGTCATTGAAATAAAAAGAAAAGAAAATAAACAAGAATAAAAACAAAACAAAAAACAAACTTAATAACAACAGAATAAATAAAATAAAATATTCTATTGGTAGAAAAAAAAAAGAAATTAGATGCAGTGTAGAATAATTTAAAGGAGAAAAGGTAGAAGGAAAAGGAGGAAGAGATCGGTGGTGGTGTCCCTCCAAAAGGAATAAAGATATAGATCGGAATTGCTCCAGAAACGATTGCTACTTCTTCCGAGTAAGAGAGGGAGACGAAAGAGAAAGAGATTCCGAGAGTTTCACGCCGAACGTTCGATCGTTTACTCGCTCGTTCACTTGTTCGTTCGTTCGTTCGTTCATACGTTCGTACGTTCGTACTCCTTTTGCTTTCCTTTGACATCGTCAACCAACCTTTATTCGTCTCGTCTCGTCTCGTTTAGTATCTTCGTTCGTAAACGAGAAGAGGATCGTTCGGTTTTCGATCTTACATCGAAATAGTAGACAGAGAAGGATTTTAACGTCGCGTGGGAGTCGAATACTCGCGCGCGCGCGATCACCTAACCAACCAACCAGCCAACTAGCTAGCTAGCTCACCACCAGCTAGCTTGCTAGGCTCACGTAAATCGACCTGATATCGAGATTTTCAGCGAACGTTTTAACCGTTTAGAAAGGAGAACGAGTAATATCGTAGGGAGGTATCAGGAAAGTTCTCTTTCGTATGGGAAGAATCTCATCGTCATCATTTCCTCTCTTTTCTTTTACTTTCTTTTTTCTTGTTTTTTTTTCTCTATTTACATATATTTACACGCATATACATTTATATTCGTATATAAATATTCAAAACCTACCTACATATATTCGTAGTAAGCACGATCTAGCAAACTCGCGCTGGCACAGAACGCATTGTTCTCCGTAGGTGTTTTACGAGCGTTTCGTGGAATCTCCAAAGCAAACGTAGAAAGTGAGAGAAAGAGAGAGAGTGAGAGAGAATGAGAGAAAGAGAGAAAGAAAGATAGATAAAGAAGGAAAAAGTGAAAGAAGACAGAGAGAAACGGACAGGAGAAAAGAGAGAGAGAGAAAAAAAAATATTAGGAAAATAAAAGGGAAAGATTTGCTTTCGAAGAAACGTTCAATAAGTTGTTAAAACAAATTCCTCGTTTCGGAAGAACATCGACAATCATCGTCATCATATAATCGTCATTGTTGTCATTTATGTCGACTATGTTGGAGAACCCGTTGATAAAATAACCGCGCGAAATAGCCGCGTGTCTAGTTAAATCCATACAGATCGACCAAGTGTTAACAGTACACGGACGAATGCCAGGTGTTCGAAACTTCGATGAAACAAGGTGTAATCGGGGCTCTTCCTCTCTCTTTCTCTCACTCTCTCTTGCTCTATCTTTGGTTCCGTTGACTCGAAGAAGCCGATAGCCTACGAAGGAAATGGGTCGAGAGGTTTCCGTCAGGCAAGAGTGTCATTGAGTGCTTTGAAAAACAGAAAAGGAAGGTATTTAACAAGTTTCGTAAGAATTAGAAGAAAACTTAAGAAAGAGAGGGGAAAATAATACGAAAGTTAAATTACGAAGATCAATCGAATTATTCATTTTGCTTACGAGACCTTTTGGTTCGATCTTGGTCAGTGTGCATATGCGCGCGGTTTAAAAAAAAAAAAAAAACTTTCTGTTCGCTAAGAACATCTCGAAAGGATTACGAAAGAAAGATTGAGAGTGAAGAACGGTGACAAGTTAGAGACAAAAATGATGGACGAAAGTTTAATCTACGTGGTGGATGTGCGGCACTCGATCCATTTGACGAAGAAAATACAGCTGCTAAGTACGACTCGTTGAAAGCTCTCTCTCCTTGTTTGTTTATGCATTCTTTTTTTGATCCCCTTCCTGATACTTTTCCTTATCCCAGTTCATCTTCCCTAAAAGTCGGTCGCCTTTTTGGTGATACACGTTGGAAATTTCAAGTGAACTTATTCCTAGCCGATGCAAAAGGTGTCGTTCTATTCCACGAGGAATAAACAATTGTACGCTGGTTAACGACGTTGGATATCATCGATTGGTGAGTGAACTATTACCGATTTGTCACTGTTACATTGAAATTATTTGTCCACGCTTCATTGAGCATTACCTTTTCTCCATTAGCTTCTTGTCTTCAAACAGATACTCGAATCCTTTCACGATTATCAATAATACAAAGCGTTACCATTAATAATACGAATAAACCTTACCTTACAACTTTCTAATGATAAGAAGAAGAAGAAGAAGACGAAGAAGTGGAGGAAGAAGGAATAGAATAAGGCAATGAAAGAATCGTAAAGATAGGAACGTTGTACATGTTGATATACGTAAGTAAGTATATGTAGACGGAAGCCGTATTATAATTCGCATGATTTTACGTACTTTCTAGACAACTATCTTTCTTATATCGAACGTCCTCTTGTTGATAATATACAAGGTGATTAAAAATATATGAGCATAACTTTAAGGGTAGTTTCAATATGCTCAAATAAGAACAACAAGTTCATATAACAATATGAATCCGAAATGACAATATTTTCGAATTATAATTGTTTTATTTAAATATAAACTATCATAGAAATGTATTAGCTAATTTTTACACGTATCGTTATCCCTAACAGAATATACTCAATTGATTTTACATATTGCTTAAACAGTAGGAAAAAAAACCATACATGAAATAAAAACTTTGTCATATCGAGATTTTATGATTATATTAACATTTGTTCATATTTTATCAGATACCAAAACCATAACTTTGGTTCTTATTTGAAGGATACAAAAACTACCCCTAAAGTTAAGCTTTCAGATATTTTGAGACACCTTGTAGATGCATGTAATTAGAAAGGAGAGTTCTTATATACTTTGGTTCGAACAAGTGTGTGTGTGTGTGATCGAACGCGACATGTGTGTTTACATACATACTTATATACTTACCTACGTATTTTAAGTACAACTACCATGTATTATAAAGAGGAGTTTCTTTTTTCAAAAAAGAGAAAGAAGAAGATGATGAAAAAAAAAGAAAAAGAAACGAAATCTTGACGTGTTCAACGGTATATGTAAGACTCTAGGAAATATAGGTGGGAGGTATTCGGTATGATAAAAGCGACCACGAAGATAAATTCTCATCGGCGCGTCCGCCAAGCCGTAAAGAGATGCATCGGCATTGGACACGTAACGTGGCTTTTGCCGATCGGCAAACCTAAGAGCAAAGTAGGTACCCCAAGGAAGACGTTGCTAGCTCAGAATTTATTCCTCGTAATCGCTAAACTGGCAATGATTTAACGATGTCTCGAAAGATTAATCGGCAGCCTCTTTTAACGACTCTTAATGCCGCTCGTAAATCATCCTACTTAAACCTATGAGCAGGAGAGACTGATTTTATTGTATTTTCACTGGCTAATCATAGTGCTCCGATTCTTTCCACTTTTAATCGTCTCGTCGTATATTTTCTTAAGTTACTTGTGATTTATTTTATGTAAATACACATAGATACTTTCTCTCCTTTTTATAATGGCAAAATAAAATATAATTAAAAGCAGTGTTCCGGTATTTTTTTTTATTCTAATATTTTAAACGTCTCCGAAAGCAAAATAAGAAACTACGAGAATCACTGTAAACCTGTATTCTATGATATGACGTTTTTACAATATTATTTTAACTTTAGATTTGATTATGTCTAAAAAAAATTAAAAAAAAAAAATAAAAATAAATTATGTTTAATCTTGTACGATCTGCGTGTTATAGGAAAAAGGGTGCTTTAAAATTCATTTAAATGATATTTGAATGTAATTTTCTCGAATAAAATGTTTAACGATAAGAACGGAGTTCCGAAAATTGGTGCTAAAAGTAATATTTGTTACGATGAGAGAAAAAGAAAAAAGAACAAACAAAAAGAAGAATTTTAATTGACTCGCAAAATCTAATTATTCGATCTCTTCTTAGAATCTAATAAACGATAATATTTAACATTTTGTTTGGGTCGTGGTTTCAAATGTAACTTAGCCTACACACGATTCGCAACGACGACGACGACCTTCTCGATTCAGAGCGCAGAATTTATGCATCAACGTCTCGGGCTACCTGCGATCGTGGGTATCTCGAGGATACGGCAACGATCTCTTAATTACTCGAGCAAACGACTTTGCTGACAGGGCTAGTAATTGAAGTCTTCTCTGATGGTTGTGATCGAGTAGATTAATAATAAAGTTCGATGTACTATGCGAGAAATTAGCTAATATCGCGAATATACTTCAACTCGATGACACTTATTTCGAAAAATCGAGCCAAGGGTGGCAATAATCGACTATCGAAAAATCTCTTCAAACGCGTTACGTACAAAAATGCGATCACGTAAGCGAGATTGATTGGTTGGAATGCTTTTCTTCGTTGGCGTTATTATTGGAGCGATAAGTTTCATTTGTGTCAATCAATCGTGGGAGAAGGAAAAAAAGAAGAAGAAGAAGAAGAAGAAAGAAAAATAAAAATTATAAAATGAAAGCACAAGTAACGTTAATGGTTTTACCGACGCCATTCGTAAATCAATCGAGAACCGTATAATAAAAGAGAACGCTTAACCAACAATCCAGGCACTCACGTTTATCCTAACGATTATTGCTTGATTACGTAGGAAGTAGCTGCATTTATGATGGCTGCGTGAGCGCTCGCACGCTTAAGAAAAAGAAAGAAAGAAAAAAAAGGGAAAGATCCATATCGAGAAACGATGATAGTTGCCTTCTTCTTCTTCTTCTCCTCCTTCTTTTACCCTTTCCTTTTCTTCTTCATCCTCTTAGTTGGTAGTCATCTTCGCAAAAGCGCGCGTTAAGAAAAAAAAACGAAGAAAAAATACTTGCACCAAAAAGGACAAAGAAAAGGAAAGAAAAACACAACAGGAGGGGAAAAAAATATTCAAAATTGGTTTCAATATTTTGTAAAGAACGCGATAAAGCGATAATATGTGCGTCAGATTATCACTGGATTTAAAAACTTTCTCTGTCGTGTTATGGTGGACGAGCTGACACACCGCTGAAATCTTATACAGCACCGTAATATCGCGGTATACGGGATTTACAGCGCCATAACGAACGCATCGCGGATTTCAACCGGCGACATTCCCCGCTCGCCAACGAGTTTTATCCGCGCTTTTATCTCGTGCCTTTATAATGAAAATACGAACCGTAGGCGCGAGTACAAGACGCGCGCGCGACCGAGTGTTTCACGTTCTTCGTTCTCCGAGAGCACCTGTAAAAACGATTTCTCCTTCGGAATAAAAAAAAAATAATCATGCAGCATCTATTTGCTTGCTATTTACTTGCTATTTGCTTGTTATTTGCTTATGGAGTTTGTACTATCTAAAACGTTCTTTGTAATTTCGTCACATTTTAAACATTAGATATTTTATTGAAATTTAATATTCATCTATGCTGGTGTAATGAAAAGGTTAACATACATATTCTCAATGAGTTTTGTACACATATACGAAATGTTAATAATAATAAAGTCATAGATATATTACGTGCTATTTAAAATAAACTTAACGATTAATTAGAAATCTAATAAGTATCGGTGTAAATGTTAAAGATCGTATGGGATAAGGGGGCAACGTTTTTGGGCAACCCCAGTAAATACTTATTACACTGGAACAACTACTTGACGCTACGTACCTAAACGTAAATAACATTTTGCCAATTAAAAATCAGTCCTCGCCGGAGGATAAATTAGTGCAGGCACGATGTTAATAAGGTACCTTCGCGAAAGCGTCGTAAAAGTTATGAGTTACGGCTGAACGACTCCCCAAGAGCGTAGCTACGCTCAAGTAACGTAACGTAACGCGTAGTACGTAGAGGCGTACAGTCCACCGAATCGAGGCTAACAAACAACAAACCGTTTGCCATTTACAGGAAGAGATTATACAGGCCGTTGAATGCAGAAGATGCATACGGCTTTCGCGCGTTATACGTGTAGCATGCGACTAACGAGCGAGCAAGTTCGAGCCTTTGGATAATTGCGTGCACAACGTTCGTATGACTTGGTGTGTAGGTACTACTCATATACTTTTTGGATATATTCCATAACGTATTTAAATTCGAACACGTTATTATATTTCCACGATTACATCTTTATCTAAAGGTACCCGGCATATTTCGCGTTCACTCACATTGCCTACGGTCATGATTTACATTGCTAGAATATTCGATTGAGACTTTTAGTGGAACGAGTCAATAATTTGATCGCGATAAAAGTACGCAATAACTGCAACCAGTCGAATTCCGGCCAATTATAAGCTAATAAATATCTCTCGTTATCACCTACTTTATATATCCTGTCGTTTTTACCTATCGTAATGTTAAGGAAATGAATAATATTTTATTACCTTACGAGAGATCCTGACAAGCGTCGATCAGGCTCACTGTACCTGTACCAGCAGCAGCTCTTCCTTCCAGGTTCAGATCTYCTATCTCCTCACCAACTTTTCTTTCTCTCTTTCTCTCTTTCTCTCACTCTATCTCTTCTCCCCTCATCTGGTCCCTCCATACTCCCTCCTCACCCTTCCCTCCTCTCTTCGACCTCGTAGACAGGCTCTCGTTTTCTTCTGCGTACGTACATCTCGAGTGTGTGTACACCATCCTTAGCTTCCAGCTTCGTTAAGAGGACTCGAGTTGTCTTGGTACTTCGCGTGAAAATCTAGAATCGATTCGTTCGCCCACCGATCGACTTAACGCTCCATTTTATTGCCTCGGTCGTAAGCATTAAATAAAAGTTAATATCAAGGATCGTGTTGGAAGGACGATTATTAAATGAAAACGTTCGTAAGTATTATATACAAACGTGCGTACGGAAGCTGAAAATAAGAAGAGTCATGATCATTCAGGATGATCCTGTTGTCCTCGGGCAGGTTGCGATCACGAAGTTGGATGAGTCGGTCATACGCCATGATGGTTTTATGGTGATCCGTCTGGATTATCTCTTGGTCATATAGGGCTTCTGTGGGCAGAACAAAGAATATGTTAATAAAAGGTGCCGTACAAAGCGTCGTGCTTTCTCAGATGCTCCACGCATTTGTCCCATCTATTGTGCACGAAGATATTACATAGAGAGAAGGAGAAGAAAATTGGCGAGTGTATTTACGAGGACAGAAGTTTCACGAAAAATATGATAAATGAGAGATGGGCTATTCAATAAACGTGTCAATGGATGTAGACAAATTATTCTTTGAAGAAATTCGAGAACAGAGAGAGAGAGAAAGAGGGGAGGGAAAGGTTTCAAGCCGAAGAATAATCGTAAAGACGTGTATATTATATCTTGGATATTAGGGTCATTAACTTGCCGATCGTCAGGAAGAATTGTAATTCTGATCCTTGATGAGAAACCGAGAGCGAGGGCACTTATGTACTTAAATTGTACATACATTAGGCGTGACGTATGTATGCATGTATGTATTGTAAGTAGATACATGCATATACTCTACGTAAAGAAAGAGAAAGAGAGAAAGAGAATGCAGCTCATTCGGCAACAAATGTAGCGGTGCTTATATTACCCACGGTCATGTCTTGTTCAACACACTGGGGAGATACTTTATTGCTGATAATTCGAGCCAGCCCGTGAGACATGCCGAAGCACGCCATTTACATTCCTGTCGCGATCACAAATGCATTTTATATACCGGCTAATATCCTGCTCGATCGCGTGGGCTAGATACATAGGTGCGTACGTGTACACAAATACATGCACACTTATTTATGCAAAGAGAAAGAAAGAGTCACAGGTAACGTACAGTATGATGATACGTCTTTGTACTAGTGTAGTGATGACCGGTGCGTGCACGTACTGGTCCTGTGGGCAGCCATGATCTTTGCCTTGGAACGAAAAACATTCAAGTCCTACCGATTATGGTACATCGATTCGACGTTACACCTTGCTCAGACTTTCTCGCTTCTGGACCTATGCTTGAGCTTGGGCCTTTGCCTCTCTTTGGATTTTACTCTTACCAAGCGAGCTCCAACCACGAACGGATAATATGAACTACGTCCTTGAGTTACGAGTTACATACTGCATAACTTTTCATTTTATACTCCCGTCCTATTGCCCTTACACGCGTACGATCTTAAGGATAGATAGTCCTAATTTTTTCCTCTCTCAACTAGAGATAAAATCATCGAAGAGGGTTACCTTCGTTCATCCATAATAAAGTTCCTTTTTCGTACTTTCAAGATAACAAATGCAAAAAGCATCCTTTAGAAAAAAACTAACGCTACCGGCCGTTTCTGTATTCGTAACAACGACCTTCCGGTTTACTTGGAATTACGCTTGGTCTTCTCTCTTACTATCGAGGATAAGAGGATTACGAAATACTTTCCAAAGTGGAATCTAGAAGTACCGATTGAAATTGAAAAGCGACCAGATATCTAGAAGCTGCTTCGTGCTTTTATCCAGCTCTGAATTCGGAAGCTGCAAATGGCACTTTATCCTTATCGCGCTTTGCTGTTCTGTAGAAAGCAATTGGTACAACGTAATGGCACGCGATATTGGTGTTTTCTTACTTTTGTGTATATTACATAGTAGAAAAAAAGATATGTATTTGTATTTCTTTGCTGTGTCTTCTGATACAGATCCTACTTATTATACATTTGTAAAAAAAATAAGTGTAAGTGACGTTCGACTATTGATTCTTCTGTCTCATCAAAATATGGATTCAATAAAGACATTCTAACGTTCTTAATACCAAAGTGTGATATGTAACTCTGACAAGGAACGCAAGAAAATTCAATAATGCAGTAGTCTAAGGTTATCTCTATCGAGCGCGGAAATATAATTAAGCTCGCGTTTACCCTCGATAGACTTACTGTGGCAACTCTTGCAACAGTGTGTCTTGTTGAGACCGAGTTGAGGAAGAATTACATGGCTACTGGGATATAAAAATTGAACGGGTGCGTAGAGCTCGTATGGTGAGTTTTCGTTCTATTAAATCAAAAGCTTTCGAAGCGATTATGGGTACATGGATTCGACGTTGCACCTTGCTCATACATGATGGCTGGCTTACGTGCTGTGTTGCTCTCTTGGTCTGGTTCGGCCGGTACTACTGGATAAAATATATCACTGGTATTAAGTTACGACTGACAAATTTAGTAACTTAAACCTTGTTTGCTTGCTTGCTTCAACTCGATCGTTCGTTCGTTTCGTTCATTCGTTCGATCGTACCTTAAAGACACGATGTTTGTATGTACTACGAATTATAGCAATCTAATTACTTCAGTTACATAAAGCATTAGAAAATAACGTCACGTTAGTTCAAAGTGGTCTTTTTTTATTTGCCACTTTGCACATATGTAGAACATACCAAGTCGAAACAGGAATTATATATCATTTAATATTTCTTTAAATTTATAATACGAGCTAAGAAAGGTATTGACAGGAACTGCGAATACGAGTAACATTTCGCGATAAGATAACATAAGCAATAGTTGATCGTTAGCTAAACTATGCATTGTATTTTTCTAGATAAAGATGATAGTGCACGGCGGGCTACTGGTGATCCTAAAATTGGTACTGATCCTTGCTGCATCGACTATTCCAGGAACGTGGATGTAAGTATGTCATATACATTTTTATTATTAATATGATAATGTTAAAATAACTATCTTATTCATGCGTTTCTCAATCTCCTTTCTTATCTATTCTTTCTATCTATCGTAAGAAAGTCAGATGGAATGTTTTCTTGGAAACTAATCCTGTTTCTCAACAACTGTATTAAGCTCGAACATACGATAGGGAATCTTCTTCTTCCAACGTATGTTATTACTATCGATTAGGAATCAGCAATGATCAAAGAAGATTGTACTTGATAAAAAAAAGGAAATGAGAACAAATTCAAAAAAAAAAAAAAAACAATGTAATTGTAAGTAGTAAAAAGAAAAAAAAAACAAAAAGAAAGAAGCTTACAGATGTTTCTTTTACCTTACGGAGAGTGATTCAGATCAGCCGATATAAATCTCTTCTTTGCAAGCGTATAAGAAGAAGAAGATGAAGAAAAAGAAGAAGAAGAAGAAGAAGAAGAAGCAGTACCGGTCCTGTCACTCTCGTACGACCGACTGGAAGAGCCACTTGGACACGCAGATTGTTTATATTGCAAATAGTGGTAAATACGCACAGTCATCCTGTCCCTTTTTCCCTTTTATCTTCTTCTTCTTGTCTTTCTTTATTTTTTTTGTTCTCTCTCTCTCATTTCCCAGTACGAAAGGTCGAACAACAACCATTTCGTGTCGGTTAGGTGGGAAAACGTTTTCGTAAAAAGATCTAAACTTCTTACAAATAAATCCCAATTATCTTCGGGAAAGAAGTGATCGATGGAAAGAGATTTAGAAAAAAGAAAAATCTGAACCGATTTCAACGAAATCACAATGTGGAAGGAAAGAAAAAAAAAGAGAGAGAGAGAGAGAAAAAAAAGATAAAGCGAGAGAGAAGCGCGGGTGAGCTGGGATCATTCATTGATTGGTCATGGTTATGGCGTAGGGTAAAGAATACTGGGGTGAGAATGGCAATTCAAAAATTAGACACACTCTCCTCGTTGGGGATACCAACCAACAAATGGACCGTGCGATACCTTCGGGCACGAAAAATTCCTCTCGATCGAGTTCCCACGAAATACAGACGAACCTAAAACTCTTCGACAAAGACCTAGAAATTATACGTTACGCGCTGATTTTGGCAAGATTCGAAAGGGTCATACCCTCGACTCTTGCGATACCCCTATGTACACGTGTGCATATTAATTTATCGATCGTCTCAAGAACGTTTGTAAAATCGCTAAAATTCAAGAATATACACCGGTGACCCAACCTACTCATTTCGTTTATTTTCTTTTTGTTTTAGTTTCTTTTTTATTTTTACCATCCTCAAGCAGTACACAACATCGTCGCCGGGATAACATTTTCTTTTCCTATTAATCTGCCTGGTTCTGTGAGAGCCGTAATCGCGTGGGTGGGCCCGTCGCACCTCTAAGACGGTTAATCCTTCTTACTTTGCTTTGAGAATTAAGACAGGAACACAATGAGTCAAGGAGACCAACTTATTTCTATCTAAATCTTGACCTTATCTTCCAATTAGTCGTGCAATGATATACCCGATATTGAGTTAATACCATTTCCTGCAGGGATTTTTTCAAATCTTTTTCTTATTATTACAATGAACGAATAATAAACACATTGATCCGATTTTGGATACTTATCGGAAAATAGATTTCTTTTTATTAATGACAAATATTTGTATTTTAACCCTTTGAGTGCTGAATACTATTAACTGTAAACGCTTTGTAAGAATAGAATATTTGATTGATAATATAGTTGTTTTGTTGATTGATAATATTAGCTCTGCAGCTAATAATAAATTATAATTTAATTAACATAATTTTGGTTTTACAAAACTGGAAACAATTATCGATATACAAACTAATATTCAATTTTTTTGCATTCATATCAACGACACATATATGCGTCCTTAGGCTGGCAACTTTTACCAAAATTTTTGTAGGTATGCATACATAGCACTTAAAGCATTAAAGTATGTAAAAAAAAAAAAAAGAAAAAATCATAGATATCTTTATTCATAACAGATGCGATTATCACTTAGGCACTCGTGTTGTTAACGTTGGTTTGATATTAGATGAAATCGCGCGATAACCTTCATGTTGTGCTTCAGAAATCTCTAATCTTGTATCTACGTTTTACATCCTTTTAGGTCAACGGCCAACAACTTTCTGAGATTAGATTCCACGGGAGCATAGATAAATATTTCGCGGGTGCCGTGTTATGTCCTTCCCTTTACCTGCGTGAACTGTCCCGATTCAAATCGCAACATAAACTCTCGTAAATAGCGTTTCACGCGAATCTCGCTGATATCTCCGAGGACCGATTAAAAAGTTGCCCGTCGAGAGTTTCTTTTCGGCCCACGTAAGGAAAAAAAAAAGAAAAGGAATTAAAAAAAATAAACCCCCATAAAATAAAAATGGACAACTTCGAACGGTCACGGGACAGTCCGTATTGCTCACGCATTACGTTATTTTATTTAATGCATTAATTTAAAGGGTTTAAGGCGCGAAAGAAGATTAAGAAAGGAGAAAAAGTGTGTTTGTTCGCTTTTTATTGATCATAAAAGAAAAAAAAGAAAAGAAAGAAGTAAGTTAGTCGTTCGTATCAAGACAAGACTGTGAATTTGGTCATTTGAAAGAAAATAAAAAATAAAAAAGAAGAAGAATTGATGTCTACATGGCTAAGTGTTTGAAATTGAAATTCGCACGTTAACGTACATTAATCTTCTAATCTATGCAATAAGAAATATGTATGCAAAGGAGATAAAAGTCGAACTGGGAACATAATAAATCGGATGATCCTCGTTGACCGAGAGGCTCGATATTTAACGTCGAAAGGACGACGGGTATGGGGGCTCGTGCTTATATTCGAACGTCGGTACAATCTTTTAAAAGACACAAGACATTACTTTTTTGGGACCGGGGGCCCCCAGTGCAACCCACGAGAATCCCAGAGTGGCTAAAGATGTTGGTTATGGTAGTGATGGTGGTGCTGGTGGTGGTGATGGTAGTGGACTCTCGAGCTGCTGTTGCTGCTGCGTGGGCCGAATCCTTCGAAATATTATCGTTCCCTCCTGCCCATTTCCCCTCTCATGTCATTGTTTTACAGAGGGGAGTGCAAAGCCGATGATATATCGCTGCTGAAACTCATTCTAGAATATTAATGTGCTCTATTATGTAGGTACTCCCTAGATTTTCTACCTCACCGGGGTTGCAAGCCGAATTCTAAAGAAATCGCACGGTTAGCAATACTCTGTTAAAATAATATTGGTGGAACATCAATACGGGGATTTTCCTTTAGAATTTCTCGGAGAAACGATTCTTTTCTCTCCAAGCGTATCGTCGTTTTCTCCTACGCTTTACGGTACCTCTATTATCGTTGGATTATCTCAACAAATAGTTCTCTATCTATTTATAACGAAACATAACGAGTGGCTATCATCTTATTATAGCAAAAAATCAATGCACACACATTTACATACACACATCTATATCCATGTCGACCGAGATAACTTCGACTGACCTTAACGTAAGGTTTTTAAAGCTCCGTTAAACATGCCCTTAATTAATTTAGCTAGCTCATTGAAAATAATTTTTGTTTAAGATCCGTAATCGATCCTGGATCGTTGCGTGATCATCCTCCACCTCCTTCACGTCGTCATCTTCACACATAGGGGGAGAAATCATTGACGCGATTCTAATCAGCTTGATGCACGCTATTACGCACGATAGTGTACCCATAGACTGTATTCAAGAGATCGCATGAACGGCCATCTCGAATTACAGATTAGCTCGTCCCAGTCTGTAACCTCCCCTTGACTTCTGTCTTTGACGGCGTCGTTCCATCAACTCGGTCCGTTGACTCACAAATGCGCCATTAAGAATCGCCGTAGAGGAAATCCGAGGGCCGTTCCTCGCCCACGGGCTGCCTGCACCGAATTTATATAATCGCCGTAACAAATCTTTTCTAGGCGTTAAGGAGGGGCCTAGCTCATTCACGATAGGGCTGCTTCGTAAACCACGTGCATTCGACTGCCTATCTCTTTAGCTATTGCTTTCCGGAGTAATACCTTAGAAAAATATCCTTGCTTTGCTCCTAACCCACCTTCTTCTTCTTCTTCTTCTTCTTCTGGTTCTTCTTCTTATGGCTACTACTATGGTAAAACTATATCGTATGCGTACCAAGGTATTCCCCATGATTGCAAAGGGGGATAACGATCGGAATGTCTGTGAATAGTGAATGGAAAGAAGACGACAAAAAAAACAAGAAGAATTATGCGTTCTCTTCTCGTTGAATCCTTTAAGTGGCCCATTATTTCTCGCAAAGAACACAGAAGATCTTATTCTCTATCTTGTTAACTATCAATTCGGATATTGGATGATTCATGAAAAAAAAGGTCATATCATCCATCCATACATGATTTTAGAAACATGGGTATGCAGCACTTTCCACAATTGGAAACGGCTCAGTTTATGGAAACTTACGACGTAGAAGCCTCGACGATTTGCATCGGTTTGAAGGGTCTCTCGCAGGGACAGGGGAAGCTTTGCCAATTATCCGTGGATCATATGCCGAGCGTGGCGAAGGGCGCCAAATTCGGAGTCCTTGAGTGTCAGCATCAGTTTCGAGATAGAAGGTGGAATTGTTCCACCGTCAATGATGAAACTGTTTTCGGGCCGATCCTTAAAATAGGTGCGCCATTATCTCAATAGTTATCATTTCCAGAATACTAATAATCTCAATTAAGTATTTTACTCATTCGATATAATTGAAATAATTGTACGTTGCAGCAAGCAGAGAAACTGCGTTTGTACATGCTATCACAGCAGCGGGGGTAGTTTATTCCATAAGTCGAGCTTGCAGGGATGGACAATTATCATCTTGCGGTTGTTCGAGAAGTAGCAGACCGAGAGATCTAAATCGCGAATGGATTTGGGGTGGTTGTGGAGATAATCTCGAATATGGATATAAGTGAGTGAAATAGTTCATGAATTATCTTGCTTAATTATTTTCTCTACGTATTATAATATATATATATACAGATTCACCCAATCATTCGTGGACGTAAGAGAACGCGAGCGTAGCTTTAAACGAGGTAGTAGAGAACAAGGAAGGAGCCTAATGAACTTGCATAACAACGAAGCAGGACGTAGGGTATCTATCGTTCTTTACTTTTGACAATTTAAATATGGATGAATGAAAAATTCAAATTGTTATTTCTTAACAGGCTGTTATAAAAAGATCTAAAGTAACATGCAAATGTCACGGAGTTTCTGGTAGTTGCAGCTTGATCACCTGTTGGCAACAACTTGCATCGTTTCGAGAAATTGGTATGTCATATATTTTTGTAGACATTTATCTTATGTAAATATTTTGAGATAACAAGAAAAAAGAAATAATTTAATCGATAATTCAACTTGTATGACAGGTGATCTTTTATTGGACAAATACGATGGTGCAACCGAAGTTCGAGTAAACAGACGTGGTCGATTATCCATGCGAGATCCAAGATTTTCTTTGCCTACGGCTAATGATTTAGTTTATTTGGATGACTCGCCAAATTATTGTCTTCCAAATGATACTCTTGGCTCTTTAGGTAAAATAAGAAAGGACATATTATTTCATTAATTAATTTTATGTTTTTAATGACGCCTACTACTTTTTTTACGTCATCGTAGGTACGCACGGACGAATTTGCAACAGAACATCATCCGGTATGGATGGTTGTAATCTACTCTGTTGTGGAAGGGGCTACAATACTCAGAAATCAACGATCAGGGAAAGATGCGATTGTAAATTTCATTGGTGTTGCTTCGTTGAATGTAAAACATGTGTGAAAAACATTGATATTCATACTTGCAAATAAATTCGCGTGTGTCATCATTACATACGAAAAATATACTTTAACAGTTAATACTACTTGGAATCCAAGTTTTCTACCATGAAGGTATCGAATAGCGAACAAATTTATGCAGTATGTAGGGTGTTCGGTTAAACGTGATCATTTATATGCATACATACRTACATACTATCCATTTGCAGTAACACAATTTTTTTATCGTTATAATTTTTTCATTATTGAACAATTTAAAATTGTTACGTTGATCATGGACATTTTGAAAGATAATTGATCACGAATTAAATTTAACACCCTACATAATTTAGTAGTGTAATTAGCGCTATATCAACGACGATGTATATTTTGATAAAAAATCTTAGGATAATCGTACAAATTGTAGATTTATACTAGAAATTGATATATGTATGTTATCATAATTTAGAAATGTAATTAATTTGATTAAAATATTCGTAGATTATAATGTAAACTGTGAACAACAACAAAATAACATATATATCATATACTTTTATTTAAATATGTTACTAAAAATAGAATACTTTTCGTGATGTAGATACAGTAGTATCGATATATCGTATGGCCTATTGGAAACTTAGACGAAAGAAGGCCTTTTACTGCACAATTGTATTTCTTTGTGTTATATTCATCACGTGTATCATCCCTTTTGATGTATATTCTATCATAACCGATAATACGATGATGATAATGTGATGATAATTATTTAAAATACTTCACTTTCTAAATACTAAACAATTTTAAGAACTCGTATTATTATATACGCAAATTTATTTATTGTCATTTATGAATAATTAGACATTGTAATAAAGAAATTACTGAAATAATTTTTCTAACGTGACTTTATATTTTTGCTTATTCGATAATATAAATTTTGAAAATTATAGAAATTTATTCAGAAATATATTTCACTTTGTGCTCTAAGAAAAAATTAATTAGAAATTAACTAAAGTGAATGCATTTGATAATTCTAATAAATAAATAAAATCTTAAATTAATATTAATGTATTTAATTATGTTATTTAATTCTATATTTATTATTAAAATTTCAGAGTTACTAGAAAATATTTAATTGCTTCAAATCCATCAAAAATAATAAACAATCAACTGAATAATTTATTATTCTCAGACATTCCAAATCTATGCGTTAGATACAAATCTATATTATATTATTTTTACGTAACAATTAAAAAATGTTTTATTTCTTTTATCCGAATACATTACAATGGCATCAAATACCTTTACTGCTTATACCATACCTTAAAATATTTACTTGAAAAAGAACTAACTTTGATTGTATACAAGTCATTCCTGAGTTTCCCATGGTTTTTCTGGTCGGAATAAACTCCACGGATATGGATGAATATATCTTTCGGGTTCACAAAGGATAATATTATTCTTTTTTAATTGTTCTAATAATAATGATACCTTACTACTGGGTTCTTCATCAAAATGAAGTTCACATATTCCACTTTCTAGACAGCGCAGTGATAACACTTTTCCCAAGGCAATATATGCCATACTGTCATATTGTCTAAAATATTGTAATGAAATGAAATCTTTGAAAATAAAATTATTACAAAAATCTAATATGTACAAATATTTAAAAAATTTATATTTTAATTATATAACACAGCATATTTTAAAGCTACATACCTGTACAATTGTTTTTTAAGCGCCCATTCATTAGTTGATACAGAAATGACAGTACCATTCTGAAAATGTACTACTTCACCAACTACGTAACGTTTATGTGGTGTAATTTGTAATCTGTGTAAACATAAAAATTGTAAAAAGATAAATGTAAACAATGTTTTTTTAATGATAACCTGTCTAGGATATTTAAATTATCATTTATTATAACCTTATATAAATAAATAACATACTTATGCCAGAAATTACGAAACTGTTTTTCTAAATGATATCCTTGAGGTTTCCTGGCTATTCGCAAACGTTCTAAATTTCGTGGATTCCGATTTATAACCTCAACGCAATTACTTATTAAATTTGCATTGGCGTGTACTTGTCTTTTTATAATAGAATTAAACAAATACGAGTATACATTTTTGGTAAACATTTTTGATATTTTTTCTTTTATAATTTACAAAATTATAGACTTATACTTAATATTAATAATTAAAACTATATATTATACTTAAAATGACATTAATCTATATGTAATCATACAGACACGGAGATAACAGAGCTCGAATGTGTATTTTAATATCGAGGATCGATTTGAGGTTAAGAATCGATACTTGAAATCGAAATTAGATTATTGCTATTAATAACTAATAGAATAAATATAAAATAAAAAGATATATATATATATATATATATATGTGTTAAGATATATTTAATTGAAAATAATGTTTTTTTTATTAATGATTTGTCTCAACTAGTAAATCCGCACAAAAATTTGAATTTTACCGCGTTGAATGTCTATCTTCTTATAACTGCATATATCATGGATGTAACTATTCCATGATTTAAGCTTAACCATTATTTTCAGAAAATGTTTCAGCGCTGAAGCGCGCTGAAGAATGGTGGTTAGTTATGGAGGATATGTTATACCTCAGGAAGACAATATTTATCTTATAATAATGGAATAAAATATAACACAAGTAGTTAAGCTGAAATAGATAATAAATTCAATTAAAATGGGTACTGTTGAGTACGGTTTTGCTTTAATTGGAGGATTGATGCCTGTAAGTAAATATCCATTAATAAGTAAATTGTATATTTTCAATAATTAGATTATACATTAGATTATAACCGACATGTATTTCTTATTATTTGTTCTTTTAATTTCAATTTATATTTTCAGCAAATTCAGGCACTTATAGCTCCGCCAGTATCAGAAGATTCTAAATCAGCTAAATCTAAAAAGGAAAAAGAGGAAAAGAAACATCCTTATTTTAAAAGACGAGGTCGTGGCCATAATCATGATTTTTGTGATGCGTGTAGAGATGGAGGTGAACTTATATGTTGCGACAAATGTCCAGCATCTTACCACTTACAATGCCAGTGAGTCAATGATAAATAATAGGCCTTTGATTCACGCGATTGTATAAATGTATTTAAAATGATGTATTTCATGCTTTTAAATTCACTATCAAATTATAGAGCGAAGAGCATGCTTTGTAAACAAAAATTAATGATATAAGGTTATCGTCAGACATGTATTTGTAATAAAAGTTTACAAAATTTATTCTGCATTACCGATTGAACATTATAATTTGTCCTTTCTATTAATTGTTTATTACAGATCTTCTGTATTATTATCTATTTATAATTGTTTTTTCATGTAGTTATCCGCCAGTGGATCCAACAGATATACCTAATGGTGAATGGTTGTGTTATGCCTGTCGATGTGCAACGAAAAGAGAAATTTTAGGAAATAAAGGAAATGATAAAAAGAAGAAAAAGTCTGCATTAGAAATTTTAGCTTTAGCAGCCTCTTTAGTTAATCCTCGTGAATTTGAGCTTCCGAAAGAGTTACAGTTGCCAATAATATTTCCTGGAAGTAACAAAGTAGATTATGTATCTGGTAGAAGAGGAAAACAACAGAGTACATCAAACAGCAACGGTAATTACTGCTTTTTACTTTTACAATTATTCTTCACATTTATATTATTTGAAATTATCTAAATAAACATTTTTTGTATTAGTAGGGAAAAGTCATTGCTTGGATAATAATCTAATGGTACCATTACCGGCTCGTCTGTGCTTCGAATGTGGACGTAGTTGCAGGAAAGCACCATTAATAGCATGCGATTACTGCCCACTCTATTTTCATCAGGATTGTCTGGATCCTCCACTAACTGCCTTTCCTATTGGAAGATGGATGTGTCCTAATCATCCGAATCATTTTATAGATCAAAATCTTTTAACATCGTGTAGAGTTACAGAACGTATCAAGCTTTGGGATAAATATGCCAATCAAAGGATAGATCAGCATGCCGTGAAACTTGATTTTTTGCGTAAAGCAAGTACTGCCAATCCATTATTTCGCACAAAAGTAAAATTAGAAGGACGTATGCGGGTAAAAGTTCCTCCTTCAGTTAAATACCATTATGAAAATCCACCTCATTTGGATCTTAGTCATTTCAATCAAGAAACTTCTATAAGATCAACGATTAAATTAGATAATGAGCAAAAAGAAAAAGAAAATGAAAAAGAAAAGGAAAACGAAAAAGAAAAAGCAAATGAAAATGAAAAAGAAAAAGAAACTGCAATAATAAATGATCTAGATACACTGAACAAAATTAATCATACTGATGACAAAGAATCGGATATGCTAATGGATATCGATAATTCACCTTGCAAAAATAATGTAACAGAGGTAAAATGTAATAGGAAAGAAAGCGATGAAGAAAAATCTATTGGTAAAGTGGAATTGATTGAGACAAGTGATACCTGCGAAAAACAAAATAATATAACAAATTTTGATGAATTTACATATAATGTGAAAGAAGGAGTGCAGTTATTAGAAAGACCAGTGTTAGAAGCATTAGCGCGTCAAAGATTAGAACAAATATTAAATCCAGAAGGAGATAATTATAACGCAATTAATTGTAAAGTTAAAGCTCGAGCTGTACTTTTTTCTTTAAGTGAGAAACCTAAACCATCTGTTTTTATGATTAATAAAACTATGACTATTGGAAATGGACCAAATTGTGATTTAATTCTGTCTAATTACGGTACTTGCAGATTAATATCTTCTAAACATGCTATTATATTTTTTGACGAGGTAAACCTTTTTCTAAATTACTTATATTTAAGAATATAAAGTTATCTGATACTGGTAACATTGATAATGCGATTATTTATCTTTTTTGTTTTAGGCAACAAATCATTACGAATTACTTAATTACAGTGAACATGGAACAATTGTTGATAATGTATTGTATTCTTGTAACTATAAGGAAGAATTAGAAAATGATAATAAGGAGGATAGTGGTGACACTAAAATGATGAGTAAAGAGCAGGAAACATCAGAAATGGTTAAATCTATAATATATAAAGAAAATCCTCCTTCTTTGAAAAATGTATGTAAAGAAAGTTTATGTAAATGCAGCACAAAGTATCGAAAAGTTAAAAAAATAGATTACTTGGAAGAAGGTTGGGAAGGAAGTGCGATTATTGCTCACGGATCTATTCTAAGCTTTGGATGTCTTACATTTGTGTTTAATACGATAAGTTCACGTTTAGATTATTGAGATCTAATATTGTAAATACTTATGTACTTTGTGCATAAAACTTTTTAAGTCAATAAGTAAATTAAAAAATGATCTTTTTTATTATATCATGTAAGACTTTGTAACCTGTGATAAGGAACATTAAAACATAGTGTTATGAAAATGGTTTATTAAAATATACATCATGCATGATTTTTTTAACTGTTATGCGTGTCATCTGCATCATCACCATTATTAGGTTCATCGAAATCTCTAATTTTAACATCTTCATCTTCTCCGTATTGAATAATATTATTGATAGTAAGTTTGATATCAGCGACACTTTCGTCATCTTTAATATTCAAAGGAATAAAACGAACTAAACTATAATCTTCGATAAGTTTACCTATAGCTTCTGTAAGTTTATGATGTTTTTTATTCCATGGATCACTTTCCATATTAGATAATAAACTATATGGATCGGGTTCAAAATATTCATCTAATTGTTTTTTTGAAGTCTTCGATATCAAATCCATTTTACTTAATATGTTTACATGTGGTATTTCTAGATTTACCATTACGCTTAAAGCTGCCATAGTACCCGATAAAAACTTCGATCCATCTATCATAAATTGACTATCCATTATAAATACTCCGCATATACGAAAATTCATCTTTTGTAACATTTTAATTAACTGACGCATGACTTTCATATGCGTATAAAGTTCTATTTGTCCAGGACAATCAAAAATAACATAATCGCCATCTACATCATCTAATTTATCTTCCAACCAAGTTGAATTTTCTATTAGGTATCTATAAAAAAAGGAAAAGAAGATTTTTATTGAAATAATCCAGAAATAAATATAATTAAGATAGAAGATATCTGTTTGACTTACTCCATACAAAATACAAGACCACCATTAGGCCCATATCTCAACTGCTCATCTTCCATAGCATCATCTAATTCAATTAATTCTCTTATGTCAACAAAAGGTTCATAATCAAAATGTTCTGCTGCAGGATCTAAATTAACTACTTCTATTGTTTTCATTTCATCTGCTGCACTTTGTTGCATGATAGAACAATATGTTGACTAAACAAATAGGGATATTACATTAGTTTAAGAAAATTATTGACAAACTTATAAAATTTCACATATTAATTTTATAATAAAAATTACATTAAAAAAAAAATATTTTAATATATTTTTAAATATTTAACTTATTTAATGTTATCATTTCGTTGAAACACTAATACGCAATAATCTAATATTTGAGGACTATATTATTAACCATTTAAATAATAAAAAAATACCTTTCCACTACCGGCAGGTCCCATAACAAGTTGCGCGTACCTCATTTTGACAATAATTTAATTTATTTCTATACGTATAAATTTAAATTCTAAGATTATTTACTCTTTTTAGGCATTTTATATTTCGTGCTCGTAATAAATAATTGAAGATTAAGGTTATAATCACTTCTCATATCTGCGATATACTACCATACATACACACTAGTGTAATGCAGTGATGCACAGCCAGTGATCCCAGAGACTTTAGTTCGTTTGATGGACACAGGGGCGCAAAATTATCGTATGCGGCACAAAATTATCGTACGCCCCGGGAAAATTTGAAATCCGACAATTTCTCGGACAGAATTTTGAAAAAGTCCAAAAAAGTGTCCAAGTTCAAACTTTTTCAAGTTGATGACCTTTTTTTTTTTTCAGGTAGAAAACGTTCATTAATCGTTTAGTCTAATCGGCGGTTCGATAGCTGCACGGGAATTTTTTTTTTCTTTTTTTTTACTCATCAAATTCCCAAACCCTATCATGAAAACGATGAAAACGATTGTCGAACGGGAGATCGTGCTGGGAGTGGTGGTGGGAGTGAGGGTTGGGGTGGGGGTGCACCTTTGGAAAATTTGTTGACTAAAAAAAATTCCAAATGGATCGTACGCCACGATTTTGG